TGCTGTAAGGGGCAGGCGCGGTGCTGAACATCAAGGCCGAGAGGCAGGCCGCGAAGCTCACTTTTCCCTCCGGTCACTTCTGCGCGGCGTCTCAGAGGAGCCTGCGCGAGGCCTTCGGCAAGAACCTGGGCAGGATCCTGGCACTCGCCAGGGTCGTCGACGCCGCTATCTTCGAGGTCTTTGCGAACCTGGAGGACGAGGCGCCTCCCGCCTAGAGAATGACAAGAGCGCGCGGGAGGCGCGCGCGGTTGCCGCGCTGGTGCGCGCGGCGGCCCAAGCGGAAGCCGTGCGCTGCGAGAGGAGGGGGGGCAGCGCTCCCGCGGCTCCGCGCGAGCGAGGCGACGAGGCGGTTGCAGCCGGCGGCCCTCGGCCCCCTCGCAGCCCGCCGCCGGCCTCGATGCCGGCCTCGCGGGGCAACTGCCGCTCGCGCCCGCGGCCCCGCATGGGCGCGAGCGCGGAGGGCCGTGTCGGGGCCGGCGCGCGGCAGGGCTGCTGGGAGTGCACCTGGCAACGCCCGAGGTGCCAGGCCCGGCAGAGGTCGCGAGGACCACTCCAGCGCTCCCGCGCGATCGGAACGCGACGCGCCACGGCTGGGGGCGACGCGGGCGCGGTGCTCGAGGTGACGCGCGAGTTCGGCAAAGCGAAGTCTGTCGCCTTCTTGTTCGACGCCAGGCACAAGAAGGGGCCGCAGGTCCTGGTGGAGTTCGCGGAGCACCGCAGTGCGGCGGCAGCGCTGAACGTCCTGGACAACGTTTACCGCTTCTACCCGGAGGATCGGGATCTGCTGGTGAGGTGCCACTGGGGTTCGGCGCCCCGGAGCCTCGATGGCGGGTCGGACGGGGCGGGGCCCCGCCAGGTGGCGGGGCCAGTGTGCCGGGCTGCCAGACCTGCGTGGGCGAGAAGCCGACCGTGATGCGCTGGGCGAACTTCTTGCGCGTGAGGGGCACTCCGTGCTTGTGCCCTCATTCCGCTGCCACGGAAGACAACGCTACTGGGGGTGCAACAGGTCGATGTGCGAGGCCTGTCGCGCGGACATCATGTCCGTGGGGGCGGGCGAGGTCTCGGATTGGAGCCGCGACGGGGCCCCCAGGGCGCCAAGGGCCAGGAGGGCAAGGGCAAGGGCTTCAAGGGCGGCCAGGGCAGCAAGGATGGCAAGGGCCGTCGTGCTGACTGGGGCGGCAAGGGCAGCAGTGATAGCAGGGGCCGTCGTGCTTATCAGGGCGGCAAGGTCGGCCAGCCGGACGAGGGCCCATGCGGCCCGTCGCTCCAAGGCCAGGGCGGTCCACTCTCATCGCCTGGTGCAACGCGGGCCCGCGCCCTCGCGGGCGCGGCCGGCGGGGTGGCCCCGGCGGCTGCGGCGCGCGCCTGCAGGGGGGGCCCGGCTGGGGCGGCCCGGCGTCCTGCAGGTTACTTGTAGCAAGGGTTTTCTTTTTGCATATTGGTTTCTGCAGCCGAGGGCTCGGGGTCGGGCGCCCGCCCACCCCGCTGCCGCTCCCTCGGCGCTCGCGGTGTTTGCCTTTCAGCTGGGCGGCCGCGAGCGCGCCGGAACGCGCGCGCGTGCGCGCGAGGGCGAGCGCGCGTGCGCGGACTGAAAGCGACTCGGCACGCCTCGCCGCTTTGCCAAAAAGTGCGCTCCTCCTCTTCCCCCCTCCCTGCTGCCTCCCTCCTTTTCCTCTTCCTCCTCCTCCTTCTCTTTCGTGAATGCTCGCGTGCCTCACTTCGCGTCGCGAACTCATGGGGGGAGGTTTGGGGGATGACGCCGAAGTCAAACGTGAGGTGCCGCAGCTGGTATATATCGGCTTGTCTCGTGCGTGACGTGCGCGGGTGGCGCAGCGGCGCGAGCTCCTCCCCTGGCTAGTGCCACGTCAGACAAAAATGAGTCGCCCGACAAGTACACCGCGGTACCCGTGTTATCCCGATGCTTTTCCTGATGGTTGTCCTTATGGTCGTGCAGATGGTTGCTTCGATGATTGCCCCGATGGGTTTCCGGATGTTTGCCCCGATGCTTGCCCCGATGGCTGTCCCGCTGGTTGTTCAGATGGTCGTCCCGATGGTGGCTCCGACGGTAGTCCCGATAGCTAGCCCGATGGCTGGCCCGACGATTTTTCCGATGGTCGTCTCCACGGTTGTCCCGATGTTTGGCCCGAGGGTTGCCCCGATGGTTGCCCCGATGTTTGGTCCGATGGTTAGGGGGATGCTTCTCCTGATGGTGGCCCAGCCCCGATGGTTGTTCCGATGTTTTTTTTCTGAATTTTGCCCTCAGTGGTTTCCCCGACGGTTGTCCCGATAGTTGTCCCGATCGTTTCCGGATGGTTGTCCCGATTGTTGTCTCGACGGCTGTTCCGATGGTTGCCCCGATGGTTCCCGGATGGCTTTTCCGATAGTTGTCGCGATGGTTGTCCCGAGGGTTGTCCCGATAGTCGCCCCGATGGCTGGTCAGACGGTAATGTCGATGGTTCTCTGCATGGTTGCCCAAACGGTTGCCCCGATGGGTTTTGCAATCGTTGCCCCATTGATTGGCTTGATACCTGGCCCGATGGTTGGCCCGATCGTTGTCCCGATGGTTGGCCCGACGTTCGCCCCGATGGCTGGTCCGGGGGGCTGTCCCAATGGTTGTCCGGATGGGTGGTCCGATGGTAATCCCGATGGTTGTCCCGACGGTTGTCCCGATGGTTGCCCCAAAGGTGGTCCCGATGGCTGGCCCGATGGCTGTCCCGATGATTGTTCCGATGGTCGTCCCCAGGGTTGTCCCAGTGGTTCACCCGATGGTTGTCCCGATGGTTGTTGTCTCGATGGTTGTCTCGACGGCTGGCCTGAGGGTTGTCCCAATGGTTGTTCCGATTGTTGCCCCGGTGGTTGTCCCGATGCTTGGCCCGAGGGCTGTCCCGATGGTCGTCCCCATGGTTGTCGGGGTGGTTCACCCGATGATTGTCCCGATGATTGCCCCGATGGTTGTGCCGACGGATGGCCCGAGGGTTGTCCCGATGGTTGTCCCCATGGTTGCCCCGATGGTTGTCCCGATGGTTAGCCCGATGGTTGTCCCGATGATTATCCCGACGGCTGGCCCGAGAGTTGTCCCGATGCTTGTCCCGATGGTTGCCCCGATGGTTGTCCCGACGGGTGGCCCGAGGTGTGTCCCGGTGGTTGTCCCGATGGTTGCCCCGATGGTTGTTTCGGGTCGTCCCTATGGCCTGCCCGAGGGTTATCCCGATGTCCTGCCCGAGGCTTGTCCCTGATGTTGTCCCTGTGGTTGTCCCGATGGTTCTCCCGATGGTTGTCCCGATGGTTGTCCCCATGTGTGTTTCGATGGTTGTTCCCATGATCGTCCCGATGACTTGCCCGATGGTTTGCCCGATGGTTGCCCGGGTGTTTGTCCCGGTGGTTCTCCGTATGGTTTTCCCGAGGGTTTTTCCGATTGCTGGCCCGAAGGTTGTCCCTGTGGCTGTCCCGATGGTTGTCCCGATGGTTCTCCCGATGTTTGTCCTGATGTGTCTTGCGATGGTTGTCCCATGATTGTCCCGATGGGTTGCCCGAGGGTTGGCGCGATGGTTGTCTTGATGGTTTTTTCATGATTGTCCCGATGGTTGGCCCGATGGTTGTCCCGACGGCTGGCTTGAGGGTTGTCCCGATGTTTGCCCCGATGGTCGTCCCGATGGTTGGCCCGATGGTTGTCCCCGATGATTTGGCCGCTGGTCCCGCCTGAATTGGAGAAACGAATGCTCGGCGGGAACCATCATAGGGGCAGTCCTGATACCTCTTGCGCCCATGCTGGAACCCACCTTGGATTCGTAGATGCCATCTATCCCATCTGAGGCCACCTCGGATTTTTCTTGGACGATCCTTAACCCCTGGCGACCCCCTTCTCTTGTTCCAATGGGTCGGCCCACTTTTCGGTTCCCGATGGTCCTCTGGAGCCTGCGGCCCCTCGGCGGCCCAAAGGTGCTTCAAGATGGCTTGAAGCGGGGCCCACGGGGCCTGCAACTGGGCTCACAAGCCCCTTGCAAATACCTCAAACAAGGGAACCTTCCAATGCAGTCGCAAAAAACCGCCTTTGATTCCGATGCCCGCCTGCCACGGACACATATTTCCGTACATGCCCTACGCGGCCTCAAGAAACCTCAAACGCGCCAGGAGGGCCCAGAAGCACGCATGGTATGGGAGGGCTGCCCCCTCCCCGCAGGGAAAAGAAGGGGTTGCTCTGGAAGAGCTGAGGCTGTAAAACAGATGCATCCAGATGCTAGTGGCGTCCGACGCAGTGGGAGCGTCGATTCTGCTCTCGCACAGCATGTGAACGGGTGATGCCCAGGCAACTTCGCAATCCCCGTCCTCGGGAGCCTTTAGACGGGGGTCAAGGCGAACGGTGGTCGGCCAGAGTGCCAGATCTTGCAGGATCCTGCAGGGCCAGGGTCGCACTGAGCCAGGTCTGGGTGCAGGATCTTGCAGGATCCTGCAGGATCCTGCAGGATCCTTCGCATTGACCCGGGTCTGGGTGCAGGATCTTGCAGGTTCCTGCAGGATTCTGCAAGGCCTGACTGACGCTGGTCTGGATTGACCCGGGTCAGAAGATTCCCGACGTCCGTGTGGCCTATAGTCAGACTGCTTCCCGCTTTCTTGTCTCTCGCTGTGCAGACGGAGGGCTCATGCAGTGCTTTGCCTCGTGGCGCCGCGGCGTTGTTTCGCATGTGTGGTGAACGCCGACTGTGAGCATCAGCGCACGCCGGTCTTTGGAAGTACGTACTTGTGGACATCCAGATCCGAATCTGCTTGAAGCGCGTTCCTGCTTCGACAATCGATCTATGTTTGCTATATTTTGTTACTCCGTGGGCGGGCCCGAACCCAGTCTACCTTATCCGTCTTCCCACTTCATCTTTCCACCTACCTCTTCCGACATGCGGGTTCTGATTGCCGAGAGGTTTCGAGTCGCGGCGCAAGCAGTTGGGAGCACCACCTTTGACCAGCATACCCTTGTCCCATGGCGTGTTGCTGCGCGCCCGCGGCCCATTTTCGGCCTCCAGCCCTCGCGTTGCTCTGGCATTCGGCAGTGCCTGTACACCTCCCCCCCGCATTCTGCGAGGCGCCGCCCCGACTGCACCGCCGCTGCCGCCGCTGCTCTGCCGCGCCTTGCCGCTTTTGATTCCCCCCGCTCCACGCTGCGTCTCCGACGGCCTGGGAGGGTTCGGTAACAGCTCAACTGAGATTTGCGTGTCCTCGAAGTTCCGTCTGGGGAGTGCATTCGCGTGCGCTGGCATCGGGTAGTCGATGAGTCAACTGCCGATACAGCGTCGGTTAGCGTCGGTTTAGGGACGATCAGCGCCGACTGGGGTCGACACGCGTCGGTTCGCGTCGATTCGCAAGAGCCACTAGCAAGATGACGCGGGAGGCTCCCAGGAGTTGCCGCGGAAGGCGAGCAGGCCCCCCCGGGTGCCGACTGGGTCGGGATGCCCGGAAAGGAATGCTTGGGCCTCGGTCGGGAGCCTTGAACCGGGGGTCAAGGCAAACGGGGGCCGGCCAGAGTGCCGGATCTTGCAGGATCCTGCAGGGCCAGGGTCGCACTGAGCACGGTCTGGGTGGAGGATCCTGCAGGCTTTTGCAGGATCCTTCGCATTGGCCCGGGTTTGGGTGCAGGATGTTGCAGGATCTTGCAGGATCTTGCAGGGCCCGACGGACCCGGGTCTGCATTGAGCCGGGTCAGCGAGTCCCCGACTCGGGACCAGCACGGTTGGTCGGTGGCGCGCCCCGTGCGAAGTTCAGAGGCTGCGGGCCCTCCCAGAAGGCCTCTTTGGCCCTCCGAGAGGCTCTCTCGGTCTTCTCCCAGGCTACCTTCTGAGGAGGGCTTCCGAGAAGCCTCGCCGCCTTCCGAGAGGGTTTGCCACCCCTCGCTTTTCTCGGCGCTCCGCCGACCCGCGGATGGCTCCAGCCCAGTGGGGCGCCTGGTTTCTAGCGCGAGGCCTCGCGTGAGCAGCATCGGAACCGGCCTCGTGGGCATAGTCCAACTCGGCATGTCCAGAAGTTCGTCCTTCGATCTAGGTCACCCGCTGGGGGGGCGAACATCCTCGTGTGTCGCGCGTCGCTGTTTGGATCAGAATGGGTGCTGTCTGCTAGGAAGTGGCGTGATGGCGCGAATCGAATCTCGCGTCGCGCATCGCGGGGCGCGATGCGCGAAGTCAATATACCTGGTTCAAGGTTGCTTCTCGTTCTAAGTCTGCCTGGAGCAGTTCTGACTTTCTGAGGGTTTTCGATCTTTGCTTCGAGCCCCCCTGCCCCAATTATTGAGTCCCCCTTCTCCTTTTCTTTCGAAGTCGTCCCTTCTCTTCTCTGGAAGATCTGCATTCCTACGCTTTCCTCCAATCTCGGTTTTCTTTTCCCTGTTCTGGAAGTCTGCGCCGTTCCGCCGAACTTCAGAATAGGCACAGCGCGAAGATGTCGTGGCCTGCTCGGATGGCCCAGCGGTGGGTAAAGTGGAGGAGAAGGGGAAGAGCGAGATAATGCGGAGGAGGGCGAGGAGGAGGAGGGGGAGGAAGAATAGGAGGAGGAAAAGGCGGAGGAGGAGGAGAGGGAGGAGTACGATTGAAGGAGGTCCAGGGTAGGGAAGGCATGCGCCCCGAACTACCGACCACGCTCTTCAGAGATGCGTACGCGAATTTTCCCAACATGGCGGGCCCCAGACCGTGTGAGCGCTCGGCTGGCGTGTGGTCATGACGCGCGTGTGCCCAAACGCTTAGGGAGTATTTTGCAGCCCTCAGTCGGTCTCCTTGGCATTTTGGGGGTCCTCTTGGGACCACCTTGAGGCTTCTCTTGGCCCTGGACCCCATCAGGGCCTTTGCTGTGGTGCTTTCCAGGCCTTGCTGGTACTCTATTTTTTTACGGTGCCCTCTAGAGGTCCCTTGGGGCTGCGCGGGAGCCATTTGGAGGCTTGTCCAGGCCTTCTTGGGTCTCTCTTGGGGACGGTCTAGACCGTGTTGGGCTCCTCTGAATTTATCTTGCTGTTGATGGGCTTCTGGATGCCCAGTTGGCCCGTGTTTGGATCATGTGAGAGTTTCGGAGGCCCATCGGAAGGAGCACCGACGACAACACCCAACTCTCCGGAAGCTCATATGCTTTCCCCAATCAAAGGACTTTTAGCTCTGCGAGTCTTCGATGAATAAGGCTCCGTGTCTGTCGTGGCTTCGTCTTGGAGCCAACTGGGGCCATCGCGGAGGCCATCCTGGGCCATCTTGGGCAGTCTTTGAGGCCGCTGTGGGCCATCCTGGGCCACGACGGAGCCATCCTGGGCCGTTTCGGGGCCCTCTGGTGCTCGCAGGGCCAACTCGGGGGCCTCTCACAGCCCGCCAGCTTCTTCGGGGAGCTCGCGGGGACTCCTGCCCCTCAAGCAGGATTCTCCACTCCCGGCCGCCGACGGACATGTCCGAAAACCTAGGAGGGGTTTGTCATCCCCGGTCGTTTTTTGACGGTCCCGGGGCCTGGCGAGGGCCTCTGGAGGCCAGAAGTTGAGGAGCACGTTCCGTTGTGTGTTTTGGCAGCGAGAGGAGGTTTGTGGTTGAAAATCGCATCCGAATCCGCGGCCTGGCGGGCCAGAAATGCGTCCGCCAGAACTGCGTCTGCTGGCCAGCAGACGCCCCCGGGGCAGGCCGAAACAATCATGGTAGAACGAGTTGTATAAGCACGCCAAGAGAATCTGCGAGAGCAATGCGTATGATTTTCGTCAGCTCGCGTGTCCGCTGTGCGACACTACTGCCCATGTGCTTCGACACCCAGCTCGCAATCATTTATTCGCGGGCCGGGCCCCTAGGCCGCGACCCCGCGAACACGGGGCGTTTTTGTCCGCGGATGTCCCGCGGATCCGCAGGGTCGCGCCCCAGAATCCAGACCGCGAGGGCGCGGATCTGGATATGTGTGCCTCTCCCAGTGCAGGTCCAGAGCCGATGTCTTTGGACGGCTTTCCATCCCAAGCCCTTTTTTGACGGTCCTGGGGCACGGCGATGGCTTCGGGAGGCCGAAAGTTGGGGAGCACTCTCCGTCGTGTTTTTTGCTCGCAGCGCGAGGAGGCTCGTGGGCGGCAGACGTGTCCGTGGCCGGGCCCCCGGGCCGCGACTTCGCGAATGCGGGGCGCCTCTCCTCGCGGACGCCCCGCGCGGCAGGCGCCCGCGCCCGCCGCGCACATCCGCGGCATCGCGCCCCGGGCCCCCAGGCCTCCCTTTGCCGGCCCCAGACGTGCTCGCTCCTCGTGAGAGGCCCGGGCTAGGATCGGGATAAATCGCTCCAGAGCGTTCCGGAGCGCTCTCAGAGCGTTCTGGAACGCTCTGGAGCGGCCGCGGCGCCCAATACATCCTCCAAACCCGGCGATTCTCAGAGATTTCGACTGATCCCGATCCGATTTCTCCGTGTCGTTTTACGGCCCCCCCGGCGCAGGTCCCGAGCCGATGTCGCCGGCCCGCGCGCTCGCCCTCCTGGCCTGCCTCGGCACTGCGGCGGCGTTCGTGCCGCTCGGCGGGCCGCAGCCGGCCGGCGCCCTGCGGCAGCGGGCGGCCGTGGCGGGCGCTGCGCAGCCGGGCGCGCCGCGTCGTCGGGCCTCGTCGCTGCGGTCGGCCCTGGCCCCGAGGGCCTGCCTTCTGGTATTCCTCCAGGAGGGGAAAAAACACACAGACACAATTGGTCGTCGATTCCCCAGAAGATCTGGGGAAGTATGGGAAGTGGGGGGGGGGGAAGACAAGAAAGCAGAAAATACAAAAAAATATGGGGAGTCCTGTTAGTTGTGGCTATTTATTTGTGTGCCCCTGTGCCCCTGGGCCCCTTTCATGTTTGCCAGAGCCGGCGATTGTGCTCCGTTTTGGGCACCGAAGGCACTCACGGATCGATCAGCTTGGGAAAACACCGCAGAAAGATAGGGTCTAGGGCACGGGTCGTGATTCTTCCCGATTTGGAGCATGTTTTGCAATGTCGGATCTCGAGGCGAGGAGAGAAGTCTCGAGGCGCGAGGTTCGAGGTTCGAGGTCTTCGGACGGTTTCGCTGGTATTCGGCGGCTTTCCAGCCTCGGGATGCTGTCCAGCAGCTGTGCCTCGCGGAAAGCGTTCCGGGGGTGCCCAGATCGGCCGCACGCGGCCCGAGTTGTGGCCCGAAAGCCAGCGAGCGGACTGTCGGGGGCGCTGGAGTGAAGGGGAACGCTGTGGAGAGATGGGCTCAGGGGTGGTTTTCCATGGGTTTCGGAAGATGCTGGAACCCAGGGTGGTTTCCATCAGCTGCGTCTCGTCGAGGGCGTTCCGAGTCCTCCGGAACGGCCGCCGGAAAGTTTAGTTATGACCCGACAACAGGGGGGCAACGTTAGGAGAGGATAGGCTCAGAGCCAGGCGCCCTTCGTCGTGGAGTCTCGTCGTTGGGATCGGCTTGGGCAGCGGGGCATGGAAAAGAGGTCACTTAAAGGAGGAAAGGGTACCGATACAGCTACCCTTGCTTTGTTTTCGTCTTTTTGGGCCTCCTGGGAGGCCCTCGTCGCCACTGCTGGATTCGCTTCGACATCTTGGTCAGAGCGCATCCTGGGAGAGGTCCATGCAGCATCGGTATCGGTATCTCTTGGTTCACGCAAGATTTTGGCATCGATTTCTGTTCACCCTGCCAGACCGCAGAACCGCCAGGACTCGGTCTGGGATGAAATGCTGGCCAGGGTGGACACAGGGCCCCCTGCAGTATTCTCGGTGCGCACGTGGTGTCAGACAGACATCAGTCCAGCACCTTTGTGGGCCTTGTCTCGAAGAAGAAGAAACACCATGAACGTAAACTTTTTTGACGCTCCGTGCGGATTTCTTGGATCCGCGCTGGGCCCCTCGGCGGCGCCTCCAGCGCCGCCCCTGGCGCAGATGTAAGGATACCGCGCGGCGCGCCACAAGTTTAGGTTTATGGTATTTTTTCTTTTCTATTGTCAGGAGCCCTCTCGAGATCTCCCTGGCCTCCATCGGCCCAACGCGCGGGGGGCCTCGTCGGCTGCGGCGGAGTCCAGCTCGGCCGCCGCCTCCTCGACGAGCTCGCCGCCAGCGTCCGCCTGCTGCGATGTCGACGTCGCCGTCCGTCGCGTGTATTGCCACCCAGGAGGGCCTCCAGGGGCAACAGCTATCCGCGTGTCTTCGGGCGGGTTGGCAATTCGTCCCTTTTCGCACCTTCGAGGCCTCCCCCCCTCCCCCCCTCCCACCTTTCTCCCCCCCTCTCCTCCCGGACCACCCAAGGTGCCGCCTCGGGGCACCTGGGGACAACCTGTCGCTCACGCGCGGGCCAAGATCGATCAGCCTGGCTGTCGTCGTGTAATCTCGTTGGCACGGTCCGCGCGGGGTCGCGCGTGAGCGCCCCCAATGCCACGCGGCGTGCTGCGCTGGCGGCCTCGGTGAGCCGCTGCGTCAGCTCATTGCGTCGTCGTGCATAATTCAGGCCCCTTCTCTTTGCCCGGCGCCGATGCCGTGCCCTCCCCTCGGTGTTCCACAACCAGACGTCGACCCAGAGGGGCGTGGAGGGCATAGCCTCCTCCTCATTGGCGCGCTGCTCTTTGTCCTCCTTCCTCTTCAGCCTCGGTCTCCTCCTTATCGTTCATATCGTCAGCCTCCTCCTTCTCCTCCTCTTCCTCCTTCGCTTTCTCTGTCTCATTCTCCTCCTCCTCCTCCTCCTCCTCCTCCTCCTCCTGCCGGCCTCTGGCCTGCAGCCAAAGCGCATCGAGTGCGTCACGTCCCCAGAAATGGCTCCAGGCTTGAGCCTTTCCCTGCGGAGCCCCCATCCGATCGTTGCGTGATATTCGACCCCGAACGAAGCCTCCGGGTCGGTTTTGGGGATCTCCGCGGCCACAAATCGGGGCAAGGTTTTTGTCAAGGGGTGGCATGCCCCTTCCCAGCCCCCCCCCGCTCTGCGATGTAGACTTGGCTCTTCATTAGTAATATATCGACAGGGAGTTGTCAGCTTATGTTCAACATGGGCAGTCATGTCTTGTTGGTTAGGGGTCGACTATTACGCAACCATCCGATCCGATCCCGCAGCCGCCGCTGCCGCCGCCGCCGCGGCCTCCGCAACCGCCGCAGCCGCCGCGGCCTCCGCCGCGCCCGCCCCTCGTCGCAGGGGGGTACCTGCAGAAGGCATCCAGACCCCAACTCCGTGGCAGGAGCCTCGGCCTGGCACGGTGGCGGCGTACAGATGCCTCCTGCGCAGGGCAGGCCCACTCGGAGGTCCGACGCAGGGCGTCTGCGGAGTGCCTCCGTGCAGCAACACCGCGGCAGGCCCGGGCCAGCCTGGGCCCCCCAGGGACGGGGCGCGGGCCTCCTGGCCCCGGCCAGGAGGCTCTTTCCTCCGTCCTCGGCCAGGCGGGCCTGCGCGCCACGGCAGGGCCCAGGATGGCCCAGGCCTGGCACGGTGGTGGAGGTGGTGGTGGTGGTGGTGGTGGTGGTGGTGGTGTCTAGTTACCTTCTGCGTGGGGTGCCCTGACATCCGACGTTGCGAAACAGCTGCAGGATCGTGGGAGCTCCTCTTGCCGCAGCATTCTTCGAGCCGGATCGATCTGTGATGGCCCAGGGGCCCGAAACTGGGCGAAAACGCCTAGAGTGAAAAACGTGCGACGCCTGGATCTCAGGGTAGGGTGGGCCAATCCCTTCTCGGAAGTCCTGGAAGCCCCGACCCTTTTCCCAGGACCAGTTTCTCATCCCGAGTCTTTTTCGACGGTCCTGGGGCCCGGCGAAGGTCGCAGGATGCCGACGACAACCCCATACAGGCCCGCCGTGATTTCCTCACAATGCGGGGGGGCTTGGTTTTCGGGCCGTGGTTCAAGCCTCAGGCGGCCGATCAGGACGATCTAGACACCCCCGGAATGCCCTCGACGAGGCGCAGCTGCTAGACGCTGGACGCCCCGGAGCGAGAAAAAGGACAGAAGAACCAACGACCATCACCAAATACCGCCAAAACCTGTTGAGAAGGCCTTGCGGCCAGTGCCGCCGACCCTGAAGACGACGACGAGGACGAGGAGGAGAGGAGGAGCAGGAGGACACTTTGTGGCCTCGGGAGAGCTTCTTGGGTCTGAGGGATCTTGGCTCGTCTTGGGCTTTTTGGGCTCCAGGACGCCCGGGGGGGCGTCGTATCTGTCTGACCCGGGACCCCCCGGGACTCCCCATGGGACCCCCCTGGCGACTCCCCCAGTGACCCCCCCCCCAGACCAGACCAGGGCCCCCCCCCTCCTGGCGGGAAGGGGTCAAAAGGAAAAGATTCCCCTTCGAGTCTATGACTACGTTGTTCAATTTCGCTTTGGCTGGCGCGCTTGCGGAGGAGGGCCCAGGCAAGAAGGGGGTGGCGGCGACGGGCACAGGGAGGGGAGAGCTGCAAGGAAAGAGGACGACAGACGACGCTTTAACGAATGACGGCGACGACGACTCGAACGGAGAAGCCCCTCTCACACGCCCACGGGGTCGGCGTTTTTTTTTTTTTTTTTTTTTTTTTTTTTGTTTTGTTTCCATTTATTGTCTGTTTGTTTGTTGTTTGTTTTTTTGTTGTTATCGTTTTTTTGTTGTTTTTGTTTGTTTTTTGTTTTGTTTTTTATATTATGCTGTGTGTTTCCTCACGTCGCGAGCACGCCTGGGCTCCCTTCTCGGCTCCTCCCCCCCCCGATGCGGCTCGGCCCCCGCCGCAGGCGCCGCCGCGCCCGAGGCCGAGTCGACGCCGTGGTCCTCGTGCCTGCTCGCCGGACTCGGCCTCGGGTACGCCGCCGCGGCGGCGGGGGCGCGCTCCCGGGCAGCCACGGCGCGCCGCCGCCCCGGGGGGGGCTCGGTGCGGCCGCAGCGGGCATCGGTCACCACCCACCAAACCACCCCGACCCAACCCGAGGGCTCAAATTTACCCTCGATTTCCAGTTTGGGGGGGGGTCGGGAAACGTCGAAAAAACACATGTGGAACCCTCACCCCCCCAACCCGAAGTTCGGGTCTTCGGGTTGGGTTGGGGTGGTCTGGTAGGTAGTCAATCGGGAGCGATCAAGATGGGGGTGCTGACCAGGGCCACCGCGAGGGCGCGAAGGCAGTCAGGCGCGCTTCGCTTCGCGCGTCGCGGTCTGGGCGATCTCAGAGCGAGGCGCGGGTCCCTCGTCCTGTTCCGGCGGGGGGGGCGGCGGGAAAGCGCGAGGATGATCGCGCTTCGCGCTTCGCGCAGCGCGAAGATAGTGGCCCCAGGATGACGATGACCAGGGAGGGGGGGATATCACGGCGGGGGCCACGATGTCTCTCCAGATCTCCTGGCCCCTGGTCTTCTCTCAAGACGTCCCCTGGTTTTCCCTTGAGTTGCGAACCCCCATCTTGGACGCTGAATTTCCCTTGCCCTCAAGACGTCCCCTGGTTTTCCCCTGCCCGTGTACGTGCCTGGGGCCACGGTCTGCGAGCCCCCCTCGCTTGGACGCTCCCGAGGGTGCGGAGGGAGCGGGGACGCAGGCACACAGCAGCCCTCGGCCAGCTTGAACGGGACTCGTGGTTCGGCGGCAACTCGTGGGAGCCTGGTGTCGGGGGGGGGGGCAGACCTCCCACCCTGACACGTCGATTAGGGAATTGGCCGTTTTCGGTTCTCGAGAGGGCGCCGCGGCCGTTGTTTTCCAGGCTTGCGCCCGGCAGGTTTGGAGCCGAGGTCGTTTTCACTAAACCACGCTTTACCAGATGGGGTTCTGTCCATCCCCGATTTGTGTCCTCGACATCCCGTCTTCAGAGTGCACTGGCGTGTTCTAGCGTCTGGTAGCCGAGGAGAGAGCGCCGACTTGGCGTCGATGCAGCGCCGAGGCAGCGTCGGCTGGCGTCGGTTCGCGAGAGTCAGCAGGACGGCACGGAAGGCTCCCGTGCGCTGCCGCAGAAGGTACGGAGAGGGTGGGGGCGAAGACCACCAGCAGTTCCTGCCCCTTCTGAGCAGGACGCGTCGTCTAGGCCACCCGAGGGGGGCGCGGAGATGACCGCGCTTCGCGCATCGCGGCTCGGGCAGGAGACTGTTGGAGAGCCGCCCTTCCTCCGGGGGCGGCGGCGCGATGGAGGCCAGAGCTATGGCCCGCAAGCCAGGGAACGGAATGAGGGGCATAGTCTTGAGGGTTTCGGGCGTTTGGTTCTCGGCGGCCTTCCAGCCGTGGGATGCTCTCCGGCAGCCGCGCCTCGTTGGGAGCGCACTGGGGGTGCCTGGAGTCGGCGTCACCCCAACATACTTATACTATCTGTTCGTCGCCCCCCCAGTGGCGCGGCGCGCACCGAGAAGTCTTGTGGTACATGCGTCGTGGCGGGCGCTTTCTGGCCACACCGCTCGATGTACTACAAGACGGGGCATACGATATATGTTCGGGTCGGACGCGCGCCTCCGAGGAGGATATATATATATATATATATATATATATATATATATATATATATATGTTTATATATACATATATATATATATGTATATTGTAGACTCTGTGCGTCCCATAGATCGTCCCGCACGGCCGCAGGAGAGCCGGGTTATGGCCCGGAGCCGGGGAGCAGCTTCAGGCGGGCATGGGCTCGGCTGGGGGTGCATCGCCTCCCAAGCGCCCATTCGTCGCCGGTTGGTGCCCGCTTTCGCCTACACGTCAGAGTGACCTTCCGCCGGAGTGACCCTTGGTGCGGGCCCATTGGGGTCCCCCGACCACCGAGCGCGATGCGACAGCATCGGCTCGTGCGCTCGTGCTCGGGCCCCCCCGCGGCACCCAGAAAGCCGCGCACCAAAGGTCACTCTTGCCCAGGGTCACTCTTGCGTGCAGCCGACGCTTGCCCACCCCCACTCAGTAGCGTGCGGATTCGCTACTTCTCGGGAGCCCATCGCCGATCTACCGGCGATGTCGCCGAGGCCATTTCGATGTTCCCCCCCCCCCCCCCAGAGGCGGTCCCCCCCAGGCATTCCCCCTCAGAGAAGGATGTTCTGGTCGGCCCAAGAAGGGGTCCAGCGAAAAGGGGGTGGTGCAAATATCTGGTGCAATAGATCTGCGGGGTTGCAGTAGAATTGGGGTGTGCAATACATTCCGGGGCGCATATGTATTACTATTCCGGGGCGCATATGCATTATTGGATTTTCGTGTGCACTGCTGTAGTTGCAACACAATGCAGCACAACTCTCTGGCGCAATACATTTGCAGTACCATTGCCCCAAATCTATGGCACCACCCCCTTTCAGCTGGACCCCCTTTTGGGTCAATTCAAAAGGTGTGCAGCGCACCGCGGTCGCGGATCAGAGCGAGGGCCGCCGCACGTGTTGCGCCCGCATGCGTGGCCCCCGCGTGTTGCCCCCGTGTGTCACCCCCGTGTGTCGCCCCCCCCCCCCCCCTCCCCTCCCAAGCGTTGTCCCTGTGTGTGGCCCCCGTGTGTCGCCCCTGTGTGTGGCCCCCCCCCCCTCCCCAAAGTGTCACCCCCCAAGTGTCACCCCCCGAGTGTTGCCCCTAACGGTCGGCCCCATGTGGGGCTACCAGGGGCGCGGCCCTCCAGAACGCAAGACCGTTCAGGCGCCCTCACACCAACTGGTACCGCTACCCTTGTCGTGTTCGCTTTTTTGGGCCTCCTGGGGGGCCTTCGTCGCTACTCTTGGATCCGCCTTGGAATTCTGGCACATGGCTCGAAATGTCACACACAGTGAGCCGCCAAGTCATCCTCTGCATGGCATATCACCTCGGCCCGTCTTGGAACCGTTGTGCCTTTCCCGTCGCGCCGGCGAGGCGTTTCATGCAGCCCCCCCAAGCGTGGCAGGTCCACAGGATTGTCCTTCTCCGAGTCCAGAAGGGTGCTCTTGCCTCGGCGTCGGCCGCGCTCCCAGCTGGGAGTGGTGCTCTCGCGGTAGCGCCTGCCGCATGCTTACCTCGCCCCGGTGCTCGCGGCCTTGCGCGCTGGCCGAGATCTGTAGGGGCCCTGCTCCCACCAGGCAGGACGCCAGCAGGACCGTGCCAGGATCCACCCTCGACGGTCCTACCAGCAGCAGGGTTTGAGGATGGAACGTGGGGGGGGGGGGGGTTCGCTGCCGCCGCCACCAGTCGACGCAACTCGTGATGGCGAGACTGGGGCGATCTGGGGGGTCTTCCTCGAAGTCCCGTGAGATGGACCCAGCACTCCAACCCCATGACTCTTCACAGCGTGGACTCTCGGAGGCCCAGACCCCTTACCCTGGACCCTGCACTGGCTCTTCGCTTCGAGCCGTTCTCTTTGATGCTCCTGGAACCTGGCGAGGGCCCCAGGGGCTCAAAAACGGCGACAAGCCCTCCCGTCGTGATTTTGGTCCCGCCGCGATGGGCGCCCGGGCCCCTCGAAAGCCGTCGAGGTGCGGCCCGGAGAAGCGCTGCCCTCCCGACGGCGCCAGCCGCCGCGCCAGGCCCGCGCCGCCGAGCCGAAGCAGCAGATCGCGGCCGCGCGCACGCCGGTGGCCTATCCGATCTTCACCTTCCGGTGGCTCGCAGGCGCGGGCGCGTCGGAGCAGAGTGCCTCGGAGCGATCTCAGGGGCAGCGTTAGAGGCGGTTCGGCTGAGGGGGGATCGACTCTCGGCGTCGGTTCTCGGCGGTTTTCCAGCCGCCCGATGCTCTCTAGCGGCTGCTCCACGCCAGGAGTGTTCTGGGGGTGCCCGGATCGTCCCGAAAGGTTGGAGGCAATGTTGAGGGTTGATGTCCTGGAGCCATCTTGGACGGGAACGCCCTGGCCCCCCACCTTGTGCAGGTGGCTGGCGAGGTCGGCCGAGACTCCACTGGGAAGGGTTCAAACAGTTGTCGCTCGGCACGCGAACAACCCGTCTTGCGAGCTCCGACGGGCCTTTGCGGAAATGCCGACGTGGCCAACCGCTGGGCCAAGGCTTGGCCAAGCTCCACTCAGGGGCAACGTTAGGAGGGGTAGGCTCAGAGAGGGATTGTTACATCGACCCCCAATCGCCCACTGATCGCCGATGTGCACCCGATAGCCTACCCCGCCCGCGAGTGTGCGGATGCGCTATCGGGAGCGTATTGCTCATCTATCAGCGATGTATCGCCGATTCCCGCTCGAAGTTTCCGCTCCCTGAGCCCGTCCCCCCTAACGTTTCCCCTCAGGTCCTGCAGTGGTCGGCGATGTGCTGGCTGCAACTTGTCCGAAGACGCTCACGGTGAGTCATCGCCGCCCCCTACATTTCTGGAAGTGGAGATGTGGCCAAACGTCGGGCCAGAGCTCGGCCAAGGGCGTGTTCCCCCAGCCGTTGTGGAAAGTCTCGCGGGAACACCTGGGCGAGGAAGCCACAGGAGCAGGAGGATAAGGAGGAGGAGGAGGAGGAGGAGGAGGAGGAGGACGGTGGAGGCCTCATGCGTGGCCGCCTGTCCGTGGGGGGCGCCAGAGGCCCAGGAGGGCCGTCGTGCGCGACCCCACGACGACCGAGCTTGAGTCCGCCTCCGCTTTCTGAAGGGGGGGGGAGTCGGTGGAGCTGGTCTTCAGAACCCGCTCTCCCCAGCACCGACCCGACTACAGAAGAGGGGGGTCGGAGATAGGCCCAGCCGTTGCAGAGGGAATGGGCCATTCGGAGGAGAGCCGGAGGGCCTCTGCGATTGGAGCTCTTGCATGACCTTCCAATCGAGGCCCTGCCAGTGCATGGCACAGATGCGTGGCGCAGCGTTGAAGGAAGGGGGGAGAGCCATTCCCAGGGGGGGAGGAGGAACCCCTCCACATGCCTCAGCGCGCCCAGCCTGGCTCAGCCCGACCCTCCGGCTCTGGAGGGAGGGAGAGGAGGAGGGGCGCAGGCAAGGAGGACGTACCGAGCTGAGGAAGGGATGCGGGAGGAAGGAGGAGGAGGAGGAGGAGGAGGAGGAGGAGGAGGAGGAGGAGGAGGAGGAGGAGGAGGAGGAGAGAGGAGGAGGAGGAGGAGGAGGAGGAGGAGGAGGAGGAGGAGGAGGAGGAGGAGGAGGAGGAGGAAGGAGGAGGAGGAGGAGGAGGAGGAGGAGAGGAGGAGGGAGGAGGAGGTAGGAGGCGGAGGAGAGGAGGAGGAGGAGGAGGAGGAGGAGGAGGAGGAGGAAGGAGGACGAGGAGGAGGAGGAGGAGGAGGAGGAGGAGCGGGAGGGAGGGTAGAGCTGATTCACGGTGGATGCACTGCCCTCCTCGGCATCGCGCCTGCTGAAGGGCAAAGCTGCTCCGGCGCCTTCGCAGGGCCTCCCTTCGCAGCTGCCCAAATGGCAGTATGGACTGCGATTTGACCCGGAGGCGGTCCCCTCGAGGCCTTGGCAGCGATACACTGCTGCTGGTGGTCCGGACTCATGCGCTTCCATTGCTCCTTGACCGCGTGGTTGAACAGCGTCTTGGGGCAGGACCCTTTCGGGTTCTGCTTCTTTTCTGCGGTGGCAGCCGCGCGTGAACTCGCTGGTGAGGAAAGTGCGCTGGCTGCTGGCTCCCCCACTGGCTGCATTGCGCTGGTGCAGGTGCGGTCTGGAAAGGTGGGGAGGTTCGAAGTGCAGCGCTTAATTACCTTGAGCCTGGTGGCTGTGGGGACGGGGGGGAGGGCGGGGGGAGGAATGCCCAAGCGTTCCCCTACGGTCGTCTCGTCAATCCCGCCCGACAGAAGTCTCCAGAGCAAGGGTACGCCGGAGGCATTCTGGGGGCGGGGGTGGAAGCAGATCGCGGGGACAGCTGGATGTTCCAACTGGGAGGAAATCCCAACCCTGCCCAGCCCAGCCCAGCCCACCCAAGCCCAGCCCAGCGAGGAATGGGAGGGCGGGGGGGAGGGAGGGAGGAAGGGAAGGAGGAGCCCGGCCCGCCCAGCCCAGCCCAGCCAGTCAGCAAGGACTGGGAGGGAAGGATGGAGGGAGGAGGAGGGAGGAGGAGGAGGGAGGAGGGAGGGATGGATGAGGAGGCGGGAGGAGGAGGGGGGAGGAGGGAGGGAGGAGGGAGGGAGGGAGGGGGAGGGGGAGAGGGGGAGGGGAGGGGGAGGAGGGGAGGGGGAGGGGGAGGGGAGGATGAGGAGGAGAATGATGATGATGATGATGATGATGATGATGATGATGATGATGATGATGATGATGATGATGATGATGATGATGATGATGATGATGATGATGATGATGATGATGAGGAGGAGGAGGAGGAGGAGGAGGAGGAGGAGGAGGAGGAGGAGGAGGAGGAGGAGCTCCCCCCTGGGCCTTCTTGGAGGCCTCTTGGAGGCCTCTTGGAGGCCTCTTGGGGGCCTCTGGGGGCCTCTGGGTGTCCCGTTGGCCTTCGGAGGCTGTCTTGGGGGCCTCTGTGGGCCGTCGTGGGGCCATCTTTGAGTGCTTCATGCTCGTCTTGGATGTCCGTGGCGCCGTCGTGGGGCCATCCATGAGCCCTGATAGGGTTGTCTTGTGGGTCTCTTGGGGCCTTCTTGGCCCGTCTTGAGGCCCTCTGAGGGGCTTCTCGGAGCCGTCTTGGGGCTATCTTGGATGCCTCTGGGGCCGTCTTCGGCTGTCGGAAGCCCGATACAGCGAGAACGCAAAAACTATAGACGCACTTGGGGAGCATACGTGAATTTGGCCTCATGGAGGTCCTCTTGGGACCCTTTTGGGGCGTCTTGGGGGCTTCGTGGGCCGTCTGGAGGGCATCTTGGGCCGTCTTGGAATCACCTTGGGCCGTCTTGGTGGCATCTTGGGCCCTCTTGCGGCCATCTTGGTCATCTTGAAGGCGTCCTGGGACTTTGAGGTCATCTTGGGCCAACTCGCTGTCTTGGAGGCCCTGTTGGAGCGGGAAAGGAGATGAGAGCCGTTAGAAGCGCTTTCGCAAGTGGATCGAACTTTATATACCCCACTGGGAACCTCTTGCAGGGAGAAGGGGGCTGCGGATCTAGCGGCGGTAGCGAGAGCGCCAAGAGCTCGGGGCATTATACAATAGCTGCAATCTATAATATCCAGTACAGTGGAAGAGACCAGAGGCCACTCAACTACGTGCCAAGGCACGGTGGCGGATCTTGCGTTTCTGGGAAATGCTCTCTCTCTCTCTCTCTCTTTCACTGTGTTTTCTCTCTGTGGGTCCTCTCCGTGTTTCACAAGACACCTGTGGCATTGGGGACCTCGCTTCTCATCCGCGGGTGGCTCGCATGCACATGCCTTTCGGGCCCGCGCTGATCTGCCTCGGGCGCCGCCGTCGGCGCGCATCTCGTGTTGCGGGGATGGGGGGGGCCAGCGCCGATCCAAGAAATCCGCACAGACCTCTGACAGCTTTAGTTCCTGTAGTTTTCTCTTCGTGGGGGAGGACAGTCGAGACAGGTGCGGCCCTGCCCTGGTTCTTGGTTGCCCTTTTGGGAGCCTCCCAGAGGCCTCCAGTCGCCACGGCTGGACTCCGCTTCGAAAAACGATTCATGGTCTCCTCCTCCTCCTCCTCCTCCTCCTCCGCCTCCTCCTCCTCCTCCCCCTCCTGCTCCTCCTCCTCCTCCTCCTCCTCCTTTTCTCCTCCTCCTCCTCCTCCGCCTCCTCCTCCTCCTCGGACGCCGGGAGACGTTCAGGGACCGAGGTTGAGCGGATTTGGGCCCGGCGTGATCCACTGGTTGTTTGTGTGTCTGTGTGTGTGTGTGCGTGGGTGGGTGGGTGGGTGTGTGTGTGTGTGTGTGTGTATGTGCACTTTCTGCGGATCGTGCCAAGTCGGAAACTGGAGCATATACATTACCAGTGGCGGGCGGTTTTTCAGTCCCAGGACTCTTTGAGGGTCGGGGACGACGTCGGGATGGTGTGGTGTATATTTTTTCCCCGTTTTCCGGGGGAAACAACGAAAAACGTATACACCCAAACCTCGTATACACCAGGATCCGCTTTCCTGTGCGAGCTTAAGTGCGGGGCCCGAAAAAGCGTCGGTGTATAGAGTTCGGCTCCTTATTATGCGGATCGTGCCAAGCGTGCATGTGCGTGCGTGCGTGTCTTTCTCTCCGACGCGCGTTCCCTTCCTGTCCTTTCCGACTCTGTTGCGTCCGAGCATCTCTTCAGTTGACGTGGAATCTTGCCCTCCGACTGTGCCGTGCCCCTCCTGTCCTGGTCAAACCACGTCGAGATATGTCAGTGGACCGGACGTGAAGTGAGAGAGTGGGCAAGTCAGGCAGGGAGGAACCGCGCGAGGGAGGAGATGGACTAAACATCGGCATGGGCGGCGGAAGGGGGAGGCGGGAGAGAGGGGGGGGAGGGCGCCCGTGCAGTGCACATGCTCGCGGTGCCGACGGTCTTCTTCCTCGGCGCCATCGGCGACTCCAGAGCTCTTCCCTGGCACTTCCGTGCCCCGTAAGTCCAAGCGACCACCTGTCGAAACTCCCGAGGCGCCTGGCACCTCGCGACTGCAAGGGCCCCCCCCCTCCCTTTCCCGACCTGGTCGGGGCAGGCCTTCTCAGAGGGCGAGCGGGGCTTCCCAGAAGCCCCTCCTGGGCCTCCTGGGACAGCCAGCAGTTTGGGCAACCTCACCCTGAGGCATTCGGCACCTGGAACCAGAGACAGACCTCGCGTCCACCTCACCAACGCAGAGGGCCGCACAGCGAACGCAGAAGGCCTCCGTGGCCTCGCAGCAGGCCCAGAGGGCTTCTCGGACGGCCGGATGCCTCCCGAGCCCTCCGAGGAGGGCCCGCCCCTCGGCAGATCCCCCGCGCGGCCCGCGCGGCCCCGAGCGGGGCCGCGGCCGCCCGACGGCGCCGACCCGCGGCGCTCCGCCGGGAGCGCCCGCGCGGGGGCCGCCTCGACGGGGCTCCGGCGGCCGCGCCCCCCGGGAGGCGGCCGCCGAGGGCGGGCCCTCCTCGGAGGGCCCGGGAGGCAGCCGGCCGGCCGAGGAGCTCCCCGGGCCTCGGCGGCCCCCGCGGGGGCGCTCCAGGCCGAGCGCCGTCGCGCGGCCGCGGCCTCGCTCGGGGCCGCGCGGGCCGCGCGGGGGGGATTGGCCGAGGGGCGGGCGCCTCAGGCCGCGCGGGCCTGCCACCGGCGGGGCAGGCGCCCAGAGGAGGTGCGGGGGTCTGCCACGCCAGGAGAGGGCTCCTTAGAGGGAGGCTGCTTCTGAGGAGGCGCGGGCCCTGCGCCGCCAGGGGTGGTGCCCTGCTGGGGCTGTTCGGAAGGGGCTGGGGCGGGGTTGAATCCGTTCCAGGGCGTTCCACAACATTCTCAGAGCGCTCCGGAACGCTGTGGGAAGGCCGCGGCGCCCGAGGCATCCTCCAGAGCCGCCGGATCTCGGAGATACTCGATTTACCTTCACCCGAATTTCTCCTCGTCCAAGCTTCGTGTTGTTAGGCCTCCCAGATGGGGTCGGAGCAGCTGGGGTCGGATGGTCGTGCCGCATCGGCGATGCATCGCCGATGCGGCTCGGTGTGGAGCCCGATTTTCTCCACGCCGTCGGCATCCGATACATTTCCGAGGTCACCGGTGCATCGGCGATGCGGCGCGATCCTCCCCCTCCATCTACTCGGGTCCCAGCTGTGCGGCTTTAAGCAGGGGCGTGTGGGGGGGAAGGCGCCCTCCTCTCGGGGCTGGCTGGTGTGCCGAGGTGGTCCAGCACTGGTGCCGGCCAGCAGCCAGGGAGAAGATAGGAGCTCCTCGTGGCCACGGCTGGACGCCGCTCGAAGAAGTGGTGAGTTTCGACCTCGGAATTCGGGGAGCGATTCCGAGCGAATGTGCCTTCGTCCTCCCCTCTTGACAGATTGCAGGGGCCTCTTGCCAGTGCCGCTGATCTGGGGCGCTCCCCATGGGGCTCGGGCTCGCTTGGAGGTTTGTGGGGCCGTCCTGGGGTCCCCTCGGCGCAGTCGTAGGAGGATGAGCCTCTCGGGGGACAGATTTTTCTTTCGGCTTGTCCAGCTCAGATCCTCCGGCCGCCTCCAAAAGGTGCCCTCCTCGCTCTCGCCTGTGGCACCTTTCGTGCAGCCTCGGGGCCCTGATGGGGGCTCCTTTTAGGGCCCCTCCCCTGCTCCTGCCGATCCCCCCTTCGTTTGTAGCCCCACACCACGAAACGCCCGATGCTCAGTATCGTTCAATCTACGACATGTTAAGAAGGAAATCCTGGGGAGGCTTGTTCAAGGGGGGTTGTCCAAGGGTTGTCGGGGGTATGTCGTCTTGTCGTAACGGTGTCAACAGTAGAGGGGTTGTCGGCGTTGTCCGGGTTGTCTGGGAGGTTGTCCATTTACTTGTTGTTGTTAGTATTTGTTGTTCTTGTGTTTTTTTTTGTGTGTGTGTGTGTGTGTGTGGATTTTTTTTAGATTCTTTAAACATATTAGCCCCATCCCAAAGAGGCCACAGCTCCACCATCCCACCGCCCAAGTTGGGGATACGCCCCTCGAAACCTGGAGGGAACAGTTTAAATCCCCAGCTAGGGGTGTAAATCGGCCAGTGGGGTCCAGGCTACGCCAGTCGGATAGGAATCTGTTAAACGATGCTCAGATGGCCCCACGATGCGTCGACCTGGAATCGGCGACGCATCCTCTTCCGAGGTTCGGGGAGGCCTTCTCTGGTTGCTCTCCGCCACAGGGGGCCCCGCCTACGGCCCTCATGGTGCCGCCAGAATCCGGCCCCTGGGCGAGGAGCCCTGCCCAGGAAGGGCCCAGGGGGAAGTGCGTCGGCGGCGCGCCCGGGGGCGGGGGCAGGAATGGGGGGTCCAGCCTTCTCAGACATGCTCGCGTGGTGAACAAAATGAGCACGGGAGGTTCTTGGCCGTTTTGGGCGCCTGGGGGCTCGCTAGGCCCCAAGGCAATCGAACAACGACTCAGGATGAAAAGCCCGGCCCATGGAAAGGGTCGGGACCTTTGGAAAACCCGTGTCGAAACAAGCAGGACCTCTCTGGCAGAGCCAAACCGGAAGCCACGGAAGGCTCCTCAGGAGGCCAGTGGGGCCTCCTGAGCCTTCCGAGGAGGCCTGCACCCTCCGCAGACCCCCGACCTCACGATTGTTTCACGACGTGGACCCCCAGAGGTCTGAAGCCTTCCTTGGGACCAGCTTTCCATCCCGAGTTGTTCTTTGACGGTCCAGGGCCCGGTGAGGGCCCTGGGAGTCCGAAAATCCCATCGTGGGTTTTTCACGACGCGAGGCCTGGTCTCTGGGCCCTCCCCGTGGGCGCCGCCGCCAGCTGCTGGGGCTGTGTGGGGGCGGAAGGGCCCCGCACCCAGGAGCCCTGGGCCCCCTCTCTTCCTGCAGCGTCTTCCTGGCCGGATCGATCTGTGAGGGTCCTGGGGCCCGAAGCAATGCAATATCGCCTGCTGCGAAAGACATGGTCTGAGGGGGCGGCCCTCCACGCCCTTCCCCCCGCGGCCGCCGCCGAGTTCTTAATCCATTTCTTGCAGTCACGCAGATCGCTGCGCAGCCGCCTTGTGCCGCTCGACCGAGCTGCGCGCTCGCCAGGTCCGCGACAGAGTGTGCGCAGAAGGGCTCCCGAGTGCACCTCGGTGCGCTTTTGGAACGGCTCGTGGCCGTCTGGGCGCCAACAGTGCAGCCAGCATTCAGGGGAGAGCCCGATTCCTGCATACACTGTGAGGAGCCAGGAGGGCTCAGGCAGACCCGCCGCCGGACCGTCTCGGACCGGGCGGCGTAAGGCTCCCCTTCCTTGCCCCCCCCCGGCGTGGGGCTCGTCCGTGTCTGTAATGCTACCTCTACGTCGTCGTTCCAGAAGTTTCGTGGTGAAGTGCGATCGTCCATCTTGCACTGGCGGCAGCAGCATCTTGTCTGGCGGGACTTCTCAACCCGTGCGTACTCACGCTGGAATGTCATGTCACAGGGCACCGCCTTGCAGAAAAGTGCACTAAGTAATATAATGATAATGGGATGAGGCCCTGGAATCCCAAACCTCGGCTCCTTGAGTCGGCTGCTCTTGATTCGGCCCGCTGGGCTTCTGCGAGGGAAGGGGGGCCAGCTCGGTGCGGTCGGAACAGGGATCCGCCTTCGCCCGCTCGGTCGCGCGGAAGTAACGAGCGCAACGAACTCTTGAAACGATCTGGTATCGGCATCACCCCAACATACTTATACTGTATGTGCGTCGCCACCCCAGGGGCGACGCGCGCACCGAGAAATCTTATAGTATATGCGTCGTGGCGTGCGCTTTCTGGCCACACCGCTCGGGAAACGATATACTACAAGATGGGTATACTATATGTTTGGGTCGGACGCGCGCCTCCAAGGAGGATTTATAGTATTAGTATGTCTCTGTGCGTCCCATGGTATGAGAACCTCGTGGCGAAATTCCAGCGAGTGGGGCGGAACTGCCGGGGCTGTGTGCGTGTGGGGGGCGGAAAACCGCCTCGGCGGGAGAAGCCCTGGAGTCGCGCCTGCGTGAGTCACCGCGTGAGATGTCTGCGCCGTCTCGTGTACAAGACAGCTGCCTCCCGAGCCTCCTCCTCCTCCTCCTCCATCCTCCTCCTCCTCCTCCACCTCCTACTCCTCCTCCTCCTCCTCCTCCTCCACCTCCTCCTCCACCTCCTCCTCCACCCCCTCCTCCTCCTCCTCCTCCTCCTCCTCCACCTCCTCCTCCTCCTCCTGCTCCCCCTCCTCCTCCTCCCCCTCCTCCTCCTCCTCCTCCTCCTCCTTTCGCCCGTGGCCCGGACCTTTCAACTCGGCGCTTGCGCTTCCGCTTGCGCCCGCTAGAACAAAATGTATAAGACCTTTCAGTTTTCGTCGCTCAGGCTGGGAGCGGGAGGGTCCCCGCTGGGAGAAGCCATGGAATCTCGCCGGCGTAAGCCACCGCGTGAGATCGCTGTGCCTTCTCGCGTATAAGACCTCTTTGATTTCGCCGCTCAGGCTGGGGGCGAGAAGGACCCCAGGGGAGGAACCCTGGAATCGCACCAACGTTAGGCAGGTCGCTGTGTCAGCTCTCGTACAAGACCCCTTTGCCTTCGTCGCTCAAGCTGGGGGTGGGGGAGCCACCGCCGGAGAAGCCCTGGAATCGCGCCTGCACCGCGTCAGGTCGTTGCGTGCCATCTCGCGTCTGAGACCCCTCAGCTTCTGTCGCTCAAGCTGGGGGCGGGAGGGCCCCTGGGGGTGGAACCCAGGCCGAAGATGCCGCAGACATGGGGCAAGCATCGCTACTCCAGATTTCGTAGTAAAAGGGAGGGGGTCTGGACCCTCCAAGACAAGCCATTTCAGACCTCCCCCGTGGGATAACCCTCCAAAACATCGTCCCCAGACCCCCCAGGCCCTCCAAGATAGCCTGGAAGAGACCCCCCCCCGAAATGAGACCCCCCTCCCTTTTATTACGAAATCTGGAGTATGCTCTGCGGGAGTGCCCTCCGGGGGAGAAGCCCTGGAGTCGCGCCGTCAGCTCCATGCAGTTCATCCAGCGCTGAGGCGCGCGCCGCTGGCCGGTGGTTGCCGTCGGCGCGGCGCGGCGCGGCGGGGCGGGGCCGCGCGCGGGAGGATCGCCTCGGGGGTGGCGCCTGCCTCGGGCGATCGCAGACATGGATCAAGGGGGGCGTGGATTTGGCGCCGGGTCCCGTTTTTCCATGGGACATCGCGGACTCCCGCCGCCGAGCGAGGCGGCACCGGCCGCATTTTGTGGAGGGCACCTCCGCCGATCCATGGTCGGGAGCGGAAAAGAGGGGGGTGATGATTAGGGGGGGTGGATATCATGGCGGGGGCCATGATATTTCCCCAGATTTCATGGCGCCCCTTCTTATTTCATTGCGTCCCTGGGCCGCCCCCTGGGCCGCGCACATGCCGCCGGTCATGATTTGCACCCCCCCCTCTTGGACACCCCCCTCTTGGCCGCTCCCGACATGGATTTGGCGACCGCGTGCCAAATCCATGGATCGCTAATCCATGTTTGCGCGCCACCGAGTGTCAGGGCCTCCGCGGTCCGATTCTTTCTGGTTTTCCCTCTCCGGGGTGCTCTCCAGCAGTTGCGCTTCGTCAAGGGCTTTCTGGACTTGCCCAGATCGTCCTGATCGGCCCCCGGAGGTTCGAGTTATGGCCCGAGAACCATATCCTCTCACGTCGCGACAAATCACGACGGGAGGTTTTCCTATCGTGAAGGCCTTACGGCCAGAGGACAGGGAGATGGAACAGGTGGACGAGGATGAGGGGGGTCTTCCGGAGCCTCTTGGAGGTCCCTTGGGAGCCTCCTAAGGGCCTCTTGTGTCTTCCAGGGCGCCTCTTGGGGGCCTCTAGGGGCCTCTCTGGGGTTCCTTTGGGACCTCCTGGGGCCTCCTGGGAGGCTCTGGGGCCGCAGGCTCCAAATATGTACATATAACGGCACACCAGGCCAGGAGGCCGAGGATTGGAACCTCGACCACAAATGTGGGTTCCGGGGCCCGGGCCCGCCTCTGGGAGGCTTAAAATCGCCCCGGGGAGCCCTCAGACAGCAATCCCGGCGGCCCCAGACGGTCTCGAGATACCCCCGAGACGTCGTCCAGGGGTCTCTGGCGACGCATGATGCGTTTTAAATTGTCCCGGAGGCCCCCAAGACGCCCCAAGAGGCCTTTAAGATGCCGCCCGAGAGCGCCCCGAGTGTTTTTTTTTAAAGATGTTTTTTGTTGTTGTTTTTTTTTGCATTCTCGCTGTTTCGTGTTTCCGGCGCTGAAGCCCCGCCCAAGAGGCGCCCAAAACCGCTCCAAGACGGCCCAAGATGCCCCCAAGAGGGCCCCAAGACGGTGCCTGAGCCGCCCAAGACGGCGCAAGAGGGCCCCAAGAAGGCCCCAAGACGGGCCCAAGAGAGGGATCGCGAACCAAAAAACCAAGCTCTCCGCCCCAAGATGCCCCCAAGAGGCCCCAAGAGGCCCCCAGGAAGCCCCCAAGAGGCCCGAGAGACCCCCAAGAGGCCCCAAGAGGCCCCACAACGGCTTCAAAACTCCTGCTAAGAGGCCCCCGAATACATGTATGTATGTATGTATGTATGTATGTATGTATGTATGTATGTATGTATGTATGTATGTATGTATGTATGTATGTATGTATGTCTGTATACATGTCTGTCTGTCTGTCTGTCTGTCCGTCCGTCTGTCTGTCTGTCTGTCTGTCTGTCTGTCTGTCTGTCTGTCTGTCTGTATGTATGTATGTATGTATGTATGTATGTATATATATATATATGTACAGACATAGGCATATATGCACGTGTATTTACATGTAATATCAGGTATACATTTATATGCACATCTATATCTATATATCCCTGGACCGAGGCGGGGATGCCTCCGACGCGCCATGGGGGCGTCGGGGCGCCAGGGACGCTTCCAGACCGCCCAAGACAGCCCCAACACATATGAAAAGGGCCGCGAGAGGCCTCCAGGAGGCCTACTATGCGGGAGGCCTCCAGGAGGCCTACTATCGCGGAGTTATCGTTCTCACACGCCTAAGATGGCCTCCGGATGGCCCGCACTCCCAAAAGGATCCCAAGAAGCAAACATCACGGATCTTCATTTTCGGTTTTTGGTGCATTTTCGCGTTCCAGTCTTTCGGCATCCCGACGCTCCAAGACGGCCCAAGAGACCCCAAGACCACTCCACGATAGCCGAAGAGGCCTCCAAGACGGCCCTAAAGGCCCCAAGACGGAGCCAGAGGCGCCCAAGACGGCCCGAGAGGGCCCCAAGACGGTCCCAAGAGAGGCCCAAGAATGGGAACGCGAACCCAACAACAGAGTCTTCCGCCCTAAGGGACCTAGAGAAGGCCCCAATAGTCCCCAAGTGGTCCGACGAGGCCCCCACAAGCCTCCCAAGTGGCCCCAATAGGCTTCAAGGAGACGTGCAAGGGGCCCCAAGAGATAACCCACTAGTGCCCTCGATGCATCAAAACTGTCTGCAGGAGGCCCCCGGGAGGCTTCCAGATTGCCTCAGTGTGGCTCCAGGCGCCGTCAAGTCGGGCCTCCACGCAGCCAAGACGGCCAATGACGGCTTCAGATTGCAGAGCATCACCTTCTGACTGCCCGGAGAATCCCGACGATGCTCCCAAGGGACCTCAAGAAGCCCCAAGACCCCCCCCAAGAAGGACCCAAGAGGTGCATCCAACAGCAAATTGAGGAAGCACAGAGAACCCCCCCAGAAGGCCTTCAGATGCCCCCACGAAGACCCAAGAGGTCCCCAAGAGGCCCTCAGAAGGCACGACTATGTCACGCGCCTGGGCTTGATAGCGCTGTCCAAGATCTTCCAGCGCCCTCCCGGCCTGGGCTAGAACTTGAGCGCGCGCGAAGCACGCGCGATGGCTCTAGTAGAATATCCTTTCGACCCTGTGGGCACGCACTGGGAGCCGTCTTGGGGGCCTTGGATCGTCTTGGAGGCCTCCTGGGCTGTCTGGTGGCCCTCTTGGGTCGATTCGGGGCCCTCTTGGAGACTTCTTGGGCTATCTTGGGGCGATCGTGGAGGCCTCCTGGGCCTTCTTGGAGCGTCGGGAAGCCGAGACGGCGAGAATACAATTTCCAAAGACACAGGGACATCTGTGATTTTTACCTCTCTGGGCCCTTCGGGAGGTTTTCCCTATTTTCGGCCTCTGTGGGCCCTCGCCAGCTGTCGAGGTCGTCAAACAATTTACCCTGGATGAAATCGGCCGCGGTAAGAGGTCGAGAACTCTTGCGGCTGACGTTGTGAAAAAAGTCATGACGTCGGGGGTTTGGGTCATGGGCAGCGCAAGGCAGTTTTCGAATGTCTCGAACATTTTCAGGAGTGTTCGAGCGTTTTCGAGGCTGGGGCGGTTTTTCCATCAGCTGCGCCTCACCGAGAGCGTCCCAGGGGTGCCGGAATCGTCCCGAGCTGCCGTTGGAGGCCCGAGATGTTGCCCGAAGGCCAGGGAGCGGAAGAATCAGGGGCTGCGGCAGGGGGGGGAATAGGCCCATGGGGGGGATTCATCGACCCCAGATCGACCATTCATCGCCGACAGGGGCCTTATTGCCCACCCCGCCACGGAGCGCGCGGCTTCGTTCTCGGGGCACTATCGCCGATCTATCGGCGGTGTATCGCCGATTCGAGGTCGATGTTCCCCCCTGGCGTTCGTGAAGGAATGTGCTCAGGCGGCTTCAGACCCTAGATGATTCCTTACCTGTTGAGGGCGGTGGTGACATCCATGGCCATTCCTCGATTGAACTTCCACTGGCTTCCAGGCCCTGGATTCCTTCTCCAATGGTTCCTCACCGTATTGTTCTCCTCACAAGGACCTGGTCGGGGAGGGTATGGGAATTCCGCGAGCCGCCGTGTGCGCGTAGGGCTTGTAACGTTTTTTAGAACTTCGGCCGAGAGCTTCGAGCGCGCCCCGTCGGCGACTGAAATATTGCCTTCGTTCCAGGACGCTCCTTGGCCTGCCTGGGAATCCGCTCTCCCTCTATTGCTTCACTCCACGGCTGTCACTGCGCCCTCGGGCGGAGGGCCAGTCGGAGTCACTGCGCTGGATGTTGTGGACGGTGCGGCTGCCAGGTGGGGGCACGGTGTGCAAGAGGCCAGGGTAAGCCGAAGGAGGGAGGACGAAGAGGAAGTCCATGCAGCAAGTTTCCAGCACCAGAAGAGGGCAGAAGGTTACTCAGGAGGAGTTGGGCTTCGAATGCGCGACCCTGTGCGAGCATCTTCGCGCCACATCTGGCTGCGCACTACAGTGAGCGGCTTGAATAAGGAACACCTACTTTTCAAAAGGGGCTCGGTCGTTCCTTAGGTTTGCATGCGTTATTTACAGTTCCTTATGCGGTATTTGTTATTTATCGTTCCTTATGCGTTTTTCCTTGGGATAAAAAAAGGGGTTTCGTTCCTTATTTATCGTTCCTCAGGTCAGGCCGATGACTGACTGTAGTCCATGGTAGAACATCGTGCGCTTCCGGACGATCGGATGTCTGCAGTTGCGGAGCAATGTCCCATGTCGGTCCCCCCCTACCAGGGGCCCCGTGTACAGTGGCATCGTCAGATGAGAAACCAGCCTGCCGGCAGGTGCCCCACGGACAGTTCTTGCAGGCCCCACGGGCCCACAGACTTCGTTGGTCACCTCAGGAGGGTGAAGAGATGGACGACAACGGTGTCCCTAGATTTCTTATGTAGCAAGCTTTCTTATCGCGTGTCCATGGTAGAACATCGTGCGCTTCCAGACGATCAGAGGTCTGCAGTTGCGGAGCAGTGCCCCATGTCGGTGCCCCCCCTGCCGGGGGCCCAGTGTGCAGTGGCATCGTCAGATAAGAAACCGGCCTGTCGGCAGGTACCCCCCGGACAGTTCCTGCAGGCCCCACGGGCCCACAGATCTCGTTGGTCACCTCAGGAGGGTGAAGAGATGGGACGACAACAGTGTCCCTAGATTTCTTATGTAGCAAGCTTTCTTATCGCGTGTGCCCGTGGCATGGTAATTCATCCCTCCTCCACTGGAGCATGAACTGCGCCCCCCTCGGGCCCCCGAAAGAGGCTACCAGAGCCCCAGTGCTCTCTCTACGACGTTCCAGGAGGATCCCCCAACGATTCCGAGAGAGCCGCCCAGATATGTCGACCGTGTAAGGGCTTCCTTAGGTGCTTGGCCGTGTGTTTGAGATCCCGCACTTGTCGATTGAATGTTATTCCAAGAGGGCCTGGGAGGAGCCCAGAAGCGTCCAAACCTAACCCAAGCGGGCCCCAAGAGAGTCTCAAGCTGGCCCAGGACTGCCGCAACAAGGCCCTCCGCAGCCGTTTGGGAACACCCGCTTGTTGCAGAGGAGGTCGGTGAGACGGCTATGCGAGCGTCGTTTCTCCTGGCCCTCTTCGCCGTGGCCGCCTCGCAAGACGCCGCCTGCGATCAGAACCTCGTTTCCCTTGGAACTGTTACATCCGCTGTGGGCATCCACCCTCCCCCCGTGGCGGTGCCGAGTGCGCGGTGACATCCGCCCCCCCTGCCGTGCTCATGCACCTGGTGGCGCTCGCGTGCTCCGGTTTGTCTGGTGCCCGAGGCCGCCTGCGCGCTTTTCAAGGCGCAGGCTCTGCGTCTTAGGCCCCCCCCTCCTCCTCCTCCTCCTCCTCCTCCTCCTCCTCCTCCTCCTCCTCCTCCTCCTCCTCCTCCTCCTCCTCCTCCTCCTCCGCCTACTCGAAGCTGAGGGTGGGCTCGTCCGAATGTCGACACCACACTCCCTGTTACTCTTCCTCCTCTTCCTCCTCCCTCCCTCCTGCGGCTGTCCTCTTCTCCACGTGCCTTTTTTTGCCCACGGCACGGCGCGCCCCGCCGGCTATTCGAACGCACCGCTCTCGCTGCGGACCAAAATCTGGTGGCGCTCGCAGGCCTCCGGAAAGGCCTCTGGGGGCCTCCGAATGAATGCAGGCCTCAGAGACAGGCCTCCAGAGAGACCTTCAGCAGCAGGGGCCCCCTGTGGAGACCTCCGAACGATGTCGGACGTTCTCGTCGTCGTGTCAGTCGTCGTTGTCGTCGTCGTCGTCGTCGTCGTCGTCGTCGTCGTCGTCGTTGAAATCAATCAGCAACCACCGAATGTGAGTGAAGCTTGCGCGCTGCACGCACCGCGGCCTGGGTTGTAGAGTGCCAGAGAGGCGCCCGTCTCCAGGGCGGCGGCGTGAGCGCGCGAAGGAGAGCCGCGCTTCGCGCATCGCGGTCCGCGATGCGCGAGGTTACAGTCGGGGTGCCGAAGGAGGAACCCTTTTCGTTGGGGTGGGGCTCCGTGTTCCTTGATCGTTTCACAGCCTGCCTCAGGTTTTCCTCAGGCTTTCGATGGGAAATCGAACTCTTTAACTGATGGGAAAAAGAGCCTCGTTTCTTATTCAGGGTTCCTGAGGTCAACGTCCCGACTGTATCGGGCCCCCGTACAGTCGGGACGTTGACCTAAGGAACCCCACATAAGGAACGAGGCCCCTTTTTCCCATCAGTTAAAGAGTTCGATTTCCCATCGAAAACCAAAGGAAAAGCTCTAAGGCAAGCTGTGGAACAATCAAGGAACACGGAGCCCCTCCCCAACGAAAAGGGTTCCTTCTTCAGCACCCCGACTGTAAGGGGCCCCCTGGTGCCCCAAAGGGGCACGAGAGGTGCACGTTCCCCCCCCTCCCCCCCGCGCGGGGCCCTTGGGCGCCCAAAAGGCGCCCCCGAGGGCCCCCCAGCAGGCAAAGGTGGCTCCTGGCAGGCCCTTCGGCCCTCGGGGAAGTGTCCCGTGCCTGCGGGGAGGGCCCGGGGGACTTCTCGGAGCACTGGGAGGCCCCCCGAGCCCTCTGAGAAGGCCCATGCCCTCTGAATGAACCCCAGGGGGCGGGGGGGGGGGGGCGCCGAGTTCCCAGCGCCTCCTCATGCAATCTCCCGCCCGACGAGGGTCGAGGGGTCGTGCGGGGGGGCCTAGCTTCGATGATCCTGAGGAAGCGTGTTGGCCCAATGCGTTCTTGCCCCGCTCAGTTCCACCAACAGATCACTGCACCGCCTGCGCCGTACCGAAGGGCTCCGACGGACAAGCACACGTTGATGCTAACACACGTTCTGAGGGCCATCGATGCTTCCGGCTTCGCCGGGAGCTGCTGCGCAGCGCAGTGGAGGGGATGCCTGCTGAAGGCAGGCGCGAGTCGCCCGTCGAGTGGTGGCCCGACGAGGGTTGAGGGGGAGGGCACGCAACGCGCGGGCGGCGGGGGTTTGCTAGCTCTTGATGCAGTGTCGCAGTAGCTGCGCAGCAGATGCGAAGTCGCAGCCGAAGTACTCTGGCACCCCAGTTTCTCGGCGGCGCGCCGAGGGGTGCAGTGAGAGGGGGGGCAGGCCTTCTCAGAAGGCGCTGGGGCTTCGGAGAAGGATGGGGAAACTTCTGATGAGGACCGGATGCCGTCTGCGCCTTTGAGAAGGCCCGTCCCCTCGGCCTTCCCCCAAGGGGGGGGGGGTGCAGCCGAGTTTCCAGCACCTCCGCGGGCAAGCTCCTGCCTCTGCTGCTTCTCCCACAGGTTTCGATCGCTCTCGGGAGTTTTCACAGTCCGATCGCTTCGAGCATGCGCGTCGGTGTCTGCGCGCAAGAAGGATCACTTCGCGTGCTCATCCCCCAGGGCCGGGGGCGAGCGCCTGCGTTTGTGATCGGACCTCAAACTTGGACCCCTACGATTCCTGCCGATCCCTCTGCGACACCCCACATGGAGGCGCGATGGCCGCCCGGCGTCCGCGAGCCGCTATGCTGGCCTCCCGAGGGCCGCCGCCTCCCCCTCCCCCCCCGCGCCCGGCGGGCGGCGCGGCGCCCGGGAGCGCCGCCGCATGTTCGCCCCGCAGGGCCCCGCCGCCGCCGCCGCCGCCGCCACTGCCTCTGCCCTGCCTCAGCGCAGGCTCGGGCCCGGGCTCGGGCTCTGGCTCGGGCTCGGGCTTGGACTCCTCCTACTCCTCCTCCCCCCCCTCCTCCGTCCTCCTCCTCCTCCTCCTCCTCCTCCTCCTCCTCTTCCTCCCTCCTCCCTCCCTCCTCCCTCCTCCCTCCTCCCTCCTCCCTCCTCCCTCCACCCTCCTGTCCCTGCTGCACCCCGAGGCCAGTTTTTAGGGCGGTCTGGGCGTTTCGCCTGAGATTGCCTCACAGTTTATGCCTCTGAAGCGTAAAATTGGCAACAGTTTCACATATGGAGGGCGGGTGGTTTTCAAACACGTGGCTCTCGCCTTGGCGCGGTGTACATTCACCTTAAACATTTGTAAGAGCTTCACGGATTGAGGGCGGGTCGTTTTCAAACTGTGACTCTCGCCTTAGCGCGGCGCGCACTCTTCTTACACATTTGCAAGAATTTCATGGATTGAGGGCGGGTCGTCTTCAAAATGTGGCTCTCGCCTTAGCGCGGCGCACATTCGTTTTTAAAAATCTGTAAGAGTTTTACGGATCGAGGGTGGTTCCTTTTAAACAGGTGGCTCTCGCCTTAGCGCGGTGCGCATTCGCTTACAAGAGTTGCAAGAGTTTCAAAACGTACCAGAAGTGGTGTTTTGAAATTATATGCATAATAAAAGCGGCGTCCGAGGCCCCGCGGCCCAGGGTCGCACACTTTTCCCAAACTCCCCCCCCCCGTTACCGAATTTGCCCCCTGGGCTGCGGGGGCCTTTTTTGGCATCCAGGGGCCCGTTTTCGGAGTCCCAGAACTTTTGCCGCTTCTCCGAGGCGTCCACCTACGCTTCTGGAGACGACAAAAGCCGCCAAGACGGCCCAAGAGCGCTCCATGCCGCCCAAGATGGCCCCATGATCGGCCCAAGAGGCCCCCAAGATGCCCCAAGGTCGCTCCGCGAGGACCTCAAGGAGAGCCCCAAGACTCCCAAATCATTGATTTTCATGGTGTGTTTCCAATGTTTGTTGCTTCTCACGTTTTCGAGCGGCCGACACTCCAAGACTGCCCAAGAAGCCTCCAACGTCGCCCCAAGAGGCCTCCAAGAGGCCCCCAAGAGGCCCCCAAGAGGCCTCCAAGAGGCCCCCAAGAGGCCCCAAAGACAGCTTAAGAGGTCAGCATGATCGGCCCAAGAGGCCCCCAAGACAGCCCAAGAGGGCCTGAAGAGGGCCTGACGTCGGCTCCAAGATGGGCCCAAGAGAGGGAACGCGAACCGACCTTTCGATTTTTCCGCCCCCAGAGACCCCCAGGAGGCCCCAAGAGGCCCCCAAGTGGCTCCAAGAGGTTCCAAAGAGGCCCCAAAGATGCTTAAGAGAGGTCCGACAAGCTCCACAACGCCCCCGTGGAGGCTTTAAACCTGCTTCCAAAGGCCCCCCCGAGAGGCATCCCACGATATCATCCCAGCGAACATCCGAGACACTGTTGCGGGATGGGCCCAGAACTGCGACCTTTGGTTCGCATGGGGGGCTTGGGGGGCCTTGAGGGCTCCAAGAGGGTTCAGAAGGGGCCCCGGACCCCTCCAGAGGCTCCCAAGCTGGCCCAAGATATTCCTAGGAGGCTCCAGAGAGCCCCCCAAATGCCCAAACAGAGGCGCCCTCTGCCCCAAGAGGTCCCCAGGAGGCCCCAAGAGACTCCCAGGAGGTCTCCACGACGCCCCAAAAAGCCACCAAAAGGCTCCAGAAAAACCCGAGAAGCTCCCGCGAACCCCCCACCGAGCTCGCAGGAGGCCTCTACACAGACCCTCAGAAGCCCGCCAGAAGCCCTTCGTCCTCCATGCTCCGGAACAGCCCTTCGGAACACGTCGCCCTGGCTGCACCTCCCGACCCGCCCATCCAATGTCGAGGCCCGAGGACGCCCCCATGACTCCCGCAAGACGCTCCGGAAACGTTTCTCCCGCACACGTGGATCAGGTGACAATGGAGCTGATCGTCGGTGGTCCGTCGTCGTCGTCGTCGTCGTCGTCGTCGTCGTCGTCGTCGTCGTCGTCGTCGTCGTCGTCGTCGTCGTCGTCGTCGTCGTCATCGTCGTCGTCGTCGTCGTCGTCGTCGTCGGTCGTCGCTGGTACGCTACAGGCCAAACCCTTCCTTGAACTTCGCAGTATCCGCGCGAAAACCGCGCATGGGTGATAGGGAGGAACCTGGAAGACCACATGGAAAAGGTCCCATGGAAATTGACACCGTCTTCGGAGTCGACTAGAACCTAAGCGCGCGAAGCGCGTGCTTGGTTTTAGTTCAAGATTATGCGGGCGCAACAGTTACGTTGATTCGCTGTGTTGAAGTCCCAGGAGTGGCGTTCTGGAGCGATCCAGGATCGTCAAGACGCAACAGTCAGCTTGATCCGTGGCGCTGGAATCCCGAGAACAATGTTTTGGCATATTTTAGGACCTTCAAGCGGTTGTTTTCGAACGAGGCACTTCCCTCAATGGACATGAGCCGTTGTAGGGGCCTATGAAGAGGGAGCCTGGAGGGAGGGCTTATGCCAACATCGTTGATGAGTCTTGGGTTTGCACTGGTCTTCCTCCTCCTCCTCCTCCTCCTCCTCCTTTTCCTCCTCCTCCTCTCCTCCCCTCCTCCTCCTCCTCCTCCTCCTCCTCCCCCTCCTCCTCCTCCTCCTCCTCCTCCCTCCTCCTCCTCCTCCTCCTCCTCCTCCCCCCCGCCCCCCTCCTCCCTCCCGCCTCCTCCCTCCCCCCTCCCCCCTCCTCCCTCCCGCCTCCTCCCTCCTCCGCCCGAGCCGAGCCAGAGCTCGGCCAGGCGGGGGCCGGAGCCCGAGCCCAGGCCCGGAGGCCCAGGCCCGAGCCCGAGCCGGAGGCCCCAGCTCGGGCCCCAGGCCCGGAGGCCCGGGGGCCCGAGTCCGAGCCCGAGCCCCGGCCCGAGCGCAGGCCCTCACTCGTGTCGGGGGCGGGAAAGAGGGCTCAGAGAGGGGGGTCGCTCGGCCCTCCGGTTTTTGGAGGTGTTCGGCCCTCAGAGGTTCTGGAAGTTCGGAAGTGTCCTGGCGTGTTCATCTGTTCTCGGCGACGTTCCCGGTGCTCTTCAGCAGCTGCGCCTCGCCCAGGTCGGGGGCGGAAAAGAGGGGGGTGATGACTAGGGGGGGGTGGATATCATGGCGGGGGCCATGATATTTCCCCAGATCTCAAGGCGCCTCCTCTTCTTTCATTACGTCCCTGGCCCCCCCGCTGGGCCGCGCACGTGCCGCCGGTCATGATTTGCACCCCCCCCTCTTGGACACCCCCCTCTCGGCCGCTCCCGATCGTGGGGGCCGGCGGGGGTAAGACGAAGCCGGGTCGAGGACGGAATGGGGAGTCTCTGAGATCCGCCGGCTTGGGAGGACGTCTCGGGGCGCCGCGGCCTTCTCGGAGCTCGTCTCGGCCCCGTCCGAGCAGGGCGGGGGACGGCCAGCGATGGTCCGTACATCAGGAGGAAAAGAAGCACACAGACACAATTCATCTTCCATTCCCCAGAAAATATGGGAAAATATGGGAAGTGGGGGGGAAGACAGAAACCCAGAAAATATAGGAAAATATGGGGAACCTTTTTATTTGTGTGCATTTATTTGTGTGTCCCGGGGCCCCTTCAGTAGAACCGAGGATTGGTCGGAAGAGTGAGTTCGAAGACCGACAGCACTTCCTGTCCATTTTGAGCAGGGTTCGCCGTCGGCGTCGCTGCGGGCGTGGTCCATTTGCGACAGGAGGCCGCCTGGCCCACTGCGGACGCTGTCGGTTTTGGACAACGTATGTTGTTGGGCATCGTGCCCTTTCTTTCCGTACACATTTCAGGCGTCCAACCTTGTGGAAGTCGATGGATGGAGAGGAAGCGTGCTGCCAAATCATTTCCAGATGTCTAGAAGATGCTTCATATATGCCTTCCATAGGTTAAACGCATGCTTGACACATTCTCAGGACATGCTTTGCACATTTTGAACACATCTTCAGTTTAAGGATGGGATTCTTAGAGTGTCCGTTGTCATGGCATCCACAATGCTTGTTGTTGGGCATCGTGCCCCTTCTTTCCGTACACATCTCAGGCGTCCAACCTCCCGTTGGCGCCGGCGGGGCAGGGCGGGCGAGGGCCAGCGGTCCAGGTCGCCCGCGGGGGCGGCGAGGGCGACCGCGACCTGAGCGTCGCGGTCTGGGCCAGAACGGCAGCCCTTCTCCATGGGGGCGGCGCGAGTCGCAAACTGGTGGAACATATACATTACCAGTTTTTTTTTTTTTTTTTTTTTTTTTTTTTTTTTTTTTTTTTTTTTTTTTTTTTTTTTTTTTTTTTTTTTTTTTTTTTTTTTTTTTTTTTTTTTTTTTTTTTTTTTTTTTTTTTTTTTGATATTGTTTTTTTTTTCCCCCCCCTGTCTCTCTTTTTGTTGTGTTGTTGTTGTTGTTGTTGTTGTTGTTGTTGTTGTTGTTGTTGTTGTTGTTGTTGTTGTTGTTGTTGTTTTTTGTGTTTATTATTATTTTATTATTATTTTATTATTATTATTATTATTATTATTATTTTTTATCACATTATTATTATCATTATTATTATTATTATTATTATTATTAATAATATATTATTATCATCATATATAGTGTGATATTTTCATATTTATACATATATAGATATTAAGCATTTTTTGTTCTTTCTACAATTCCACGACTTTTTGAGGGTCGGGGACGACGTCGGGGTGGTGTGGTGTATACTTTTCCCCCGTTGTCCCAGGGAGACAGCGAGAAATGTATACACCAGGATCCTGTATACACCAGGATCCGAGTTCCTGTGCGAGTTTCAGCGCAGAGTCGGAGGAAGCGACGGTATGTAGAGTTCAGTTCCCTAGCGAAGGCGCGAAGATGGCCGCTCGTCGCGCATTGCGGGGCGCGGTGCGCGAAGTTGGGTGACTCAGGGAGTCTCGTTTTGCATCCCCTCTCGAGTGGAAGGACAAGACGCAGGGATCTGCAGCGCGACAACCCATGGACGTGCGCGCGTTTGGCCCAGTGCGTCGTGCGGGGGGGCCTAGCTTCGATGATCCTGAGGAAGCGTGTTGGCCCAATGCGTTCTTGCCCCGCTCAGCTCCGCCAACAGATCACTGCACCGCCTGCGCCGTACTGAAGGGCTCCGACAGACAAGCACACGTTGATGCTAACACACGTTCTGAGGATCATCGATGCTTCCGGCTTCGCCGGGAGCAGGGGGCCCCCGAGCCACCTCAGCTGCTGCGCAGCTCGGTGGAGGGGATGAGTGCTGAAGGCAGTGGTGGCCCGACGAGGGTTGAGGGGGAGGGCATGCAACGCACGGGCGGCGGGGGTTTACTAGTTCTTGATGCAGTGTCGCAGCAGATGCGCAGCAGATGCGAAATCGCAGCCGAAGTACTCTGGCACCCCAGTTTCTCGGCGGCGCGCCGAGGGGTGAACTGAGAGGGGGCAGGCCTTCTCAGAAGGCGCTGGGGCTTCAGAGAAGGATGGGGAAACCTTTTGAATGAGGACCGGATGCCGTCTGCGCCTTTGAGAAGGCACATCCCCTCGGCCTTTTCCCCAGGTGGGGGGGGGCGTGCAGCCGAGTTTCCAGCACCTCCGCGTGCAAGCTCCTGCCTCTGCTGCTTCTCCCACAGGTTTCGATCGCTCTCGGGAGTTTTCACAGTTCGGTTGCTTCGAGCATGCGCGTCGGTGTCTGCGCGCAAGAAAGATCGCTTCGAGTGCTCATCCCCCAGGGCCAGGGGCGAGCGCCTTCTTTTGTGATCGGACCTCAACTTGGACCTCTACAAGTCCCGCCCCTTTCTACTTCAAGGTGCAGCGCTTTGGTGAGGCTTGGGATTTCTGTCAGGGAGTTCTCAAGGTCAGCACTGAGAATGCCAAGGCCGTGAACCGCAGGGCTACGCAAGCAATCGTCCAGAGTCTTTGCAGAACACGCGGCACGGCAACCCATTGCGAGCGGTCTGTCTGAACAGATCTGTGGCTAACGGAGAGAGGTGTGGGGGTCACCCGAGTGCGTATTCGTGAGTAGAACACGACTCAGTTTATCTTCCATTGCGTGACACATTGTTTCAGCTCCTGGCGCCACGGCGCCCAGCCTGCAGCGCCCTCGATGGCCTGCGCTTGCAGGTTGCGTTCGCTCGACGGCGCTATCCGCGCGAGGCCGAAAAAATACTTCGGAGGCGGCTGCAGGGGAGGAGGCCTCCCCGTCTGTGCGGTGTGCCACAGCTTGTCACTCTCTCCCAGACCGTCACTCCTCGACCCCACGTCTCCCCTGGATCTGCTGGCAGGCGACGCCCGCACGGCTTCGGACCTCCTGCTGGAGGCAGAAGCTTGCAGCGGGTGCTGGATGCCGTTCTTTGCCTTCGCAGCCCATTCCAGGAGCGCACCCGGATTTTCAAGGCATCACCTCCGTGGGTTTCACGTCGAGCAGCGCACGCGGCACTGCGAGGTGCCGGCCCGCACGTGGCGGCGTGGCTGGCCCCCGCTGCTGCCTGCTGCCCGCGTCGCCCTCCAGAACCCCTTCGGTGGCTGCGCGTGTGCTGCGAGTGCGGGCGCCGTGGGACGCTTTCTCGGCATGCGAGGGTTCGCCAGGACTGACACCGACATCAGTGTTGTCGTTAGGTCTGGCCAGTGGTGGTAAGCGAGCCCCAGCTGGAGCCCGAGCACGAGCCGCGCCTGCGCCCGCGCCCGCGCCCAAGCCCGCGCCCGAGCCCGAGCCCGAGCCCGAGCTCCAGCCTCAGCCCGAGCCCGCGCCCGAGCTCGAGATCGAGGGGCGCTGTACGCCGATTTCGAACCTGGAAGGGGCCCGACAAGGTCTTCGCTGCTGGTGCGCAGCCCGCGTTCCCAAACCCTCCAGCGTCGTGCTGTTTCTTTCGCCGCGTGGGCCCCGGGATCGTTTTTCCATCCTGAGCCGTTCTCTTGACGTCACCTTGGCCTGGGAGGGGCCCCCAGAGTCGGGACGGACGAAAGGGGTGGGATCGGGAAAGCATGGGGTACGACATTAGCCGCATGCAGCCGGTTTCGGCCCGCCGCCAGGCTCCCCCCCTCGATGCACTGGCGTCTCGAGTGCCGGGAGGCGCCCAGAACATCGGCTACGTGGGCTGCTTCCCAACCACCCCCTTTCCTACCCTTACAGTCGGGCCTGTCCCTCTACAGGAGGAATAGTAAGAATGAACAAATAGCCTGGGGACCATTTTTTGACTATTTTTGGCAATCATTTGACAACTTTTGGAGTGTTTTTAATTTTTCCTCCCAAATCCCCCTGTAGGGGGACACGCCCGACTTAATCCTACCCCCCCCTTTGTCAGCGCCGACCGAGGAAGATTGCTTGGCCACGGCGTGAGCGGGCCTGGGTCCTGCGGCAGGTTAGTGACTGTGTCGGCGCGGCGACGACCCAAAGGCGCGGGCGTGCAAGTTTGAGCACCTCCGGGGGCCCGGAAGCGGGCGATCGGAAAGGCTGCCGATCGCTTAGAGTTGAGTGATCGACGCGGTGTCAGATCAGAAGCCCACGCGGAAGTCGTCACGGCACGAACCTGCCGTTGATCCTGCCTCACGGGGAGACTTCGGACCTCTGCTGCGGCGGCATCCCTTGCCCCTGGGGTGTGCTCGGCGTCGCCCCAATATGCTAATCCTGTGTGCACGTCGTCCTCCCTAGGGCGACGCGCGCGCCGAGACATCTTGTAGTTTCAGCTCCGTAGCAGGCGCTTCCTCTGGCCACACCGCTCTGGAAATCATGTGCTATACGATGGTGATATCATCTGTTTGGGTAGGACGCTCCTCCTCTTTGCATGGTGGCACAGCTCTCTCTAATGGCATCCCCGTTTAGGCATCCCATCGCCAGTGCAGACGTTCCCTGCCGAGCCGCAGACGCAAGAAAGAGCTGTTTGGGTAGGACGGGATCTTCCGAGGAGGACTGGGCTGAACGAAAGGGGGGGATAGGGAAGGGGGGGGGGGGTACGAAATTTGCTGCATGCAGCTGGTTTCGCCGCCGGGCTCATTTCTCGATACATGGGCGCCTCCTGGCGCCAGGGGGCGCTGGGAAAATCAGCTACGTGAGCTGATTCTCTGCCCTGCCCTTTGCTATCCCCCCTTTTCGTTCCCCCCGAGAGGACACGTCGTGCTAGCGTGTCTTCGTGCGTCCCCTGTGCGCGCGAGGCCATGATCCTGCCCACCTCCCCTGTGCCGGGTTCTCGACGGCAGGCCCGCCCGCGGGGGGGGGCGGGGAGGATCCCAAGGGAGGAAACACCACCCCGACCCTGCAGATTCGCGTTTGCGAAGCGGCCCTGGGCATGGTTCCCCTTCGGAGATCATCCGTTAAAGTTGGAACGATACAGAGAAGATTCGCATGGCACCTGCGCAAGGATGACACGCGCAGATCGAAAAGTGTGTACAATTAGAAAACGAAGCGGACCTGGGCGTTTCATGAACAGCCCTGCCCTGTTCGATCCCTTCCTTGGGTGGGTGCGTCTGCTAAACGGCTTTACTTGTCGGGGTGCTTCGTGTGGGGGTGGATTTTTTCTGTTCTCTGGGATCGGCGGCGAAGTCCGCCCCCTACCCTGGCCGATCAGCGATTCGGGCCACTCGAGGGGCGGCGGGGGTCGGGCTCGGAGTTCGTCGAACACGCGGCGAAATCCGGGCCCTATACCCGCCTCCCATCGATTCAGGAGAATCGATGGTTGGTTGGGGTGGGGCTCGGATGTCTCCGCTCAGAGGAGGCGGGAGGCAGGGGAGCATCGCCAGATGCGGGCGTCGCGCAAGCATCGCGGCGGCCGTTTGGCGGTTGCACGTCCGGCCTCTGGAGATTGGCTCCCAGCCCCTCCGGCCGTCAGATACGGCGCAGGATGAAGAGCTGGCCGCGGGGCGAGAGGGTCGAGGTCCCCGTGGACCACGTCACGGGACAGCTGCGACGCTGCAGGCGAGGGGAGAGCACCGGGTCCTCCCGAAGTGGGGCTCGGGCCGCCGCCGCTTGGCCGAGCGCGCCTCGAGGCAAGTGGCCCTCGGGTCCTTGATTTCCGACGTGCGGTATAGCCCGCTTGGGCAGTCTCGGGGCTCTGGCGGGCTCCCGGGCCGTCTCCCTGAGCTCTCGGCCCGCTCGTGGACCGCCTTGGTGCCCTAGGAAAGCATTCCTGAGGCCACCTTGCGCAGAAGAACTCTGGAAGCAGCACGCACGGAAGTTTTTACTATTCAGTTGGGTGCCCCCGAGAGGGCAGGCATTGCCGCCCCACTGTTCTTAGGTCTGGTCGTTGCTATCAGGGAATGTACGGACCGTGCACGACTGGAAGCGGAGGAGGATACGGAGGAAAGCCCAGAGGGGAGGCAGGCGGAGGAGGACGGGGAGGACGAGGTGCTGGGAGGATGGAGGAGGCCCATGACGGGGCAGGAGGAAGCAGTGGGAATTGAAGACGGGGGAGTGGCAGGGGGAAGATTTGCGGGGGGGAGGAGGAGGGAGAGGCGGAGGAGGAGAACGAGGAGGGATAGGAGGATGTGGAGGAGGAAGAGGAGGAGGAGGCCCCCAAGAGCGCTTCAGGAGCGCACGACGGGGCCTGCGTGAGAACCCAAGAGGGTCCGACACGGCCCAAGAGCGCTCCAAGACGTTCAAGATGGTTTCCTCATGGTTCAGAGGCCTCGAACACACCATCAGAGCGTTCCCGAGGGGCTCCCAAGAGGGTCCCGAAAGCTCAAACTTATTGTTTTCTTTCTGATAAATCTCTGATGTCCGACGCTTCAAGACGGCCAAACAGGCCCTCAAGATCGCCTCAAGACGCCCTATGGGACTCCTAATGGACCCCGAGACGGCCTGGGAGCGCCCCAAGGGGGCCCCATATGCCCCCAAGACAGTCCAAAAGGGTCTCAAGAGGGTTTCAAGAGGGGTCCAAGATGGGCCCTGTAGTGGGAAAACGACAACAAGACATTCCGAGCCTACTGCCCCGATACGACCCGCGAGACCGCTAGCAGGTTCCCAAGAGACCGTCAAGAGGCCCCCCAATATGCCCTCAGGGGGTCCAGAGACCCCAACGGAGCCCCAGATAGGCCCCAAGAGGCTCCGAAGATGCCTCCCTTAAGGCTCCCGAAAAGACCCCAACATTGGCCCCCAAGGACCCTTCAACAGGCCCCCCAGAGTCATCCCAAGAGACCCTAGTATGCACCCAAGCGGCCTCTGAGGCAAACCACCGCCGCCCAGCGTCGCCGCATTGGCAACGAGCCCGCGGCGAAACGTCAGCGATCAGACATCATGGGCTGGTGGAGTGAATGAAGCGAGCGTGTGAGATCCTCGCACCATGGTCTGCAAGGAGTGAATTTGCGCACCCAATCCTTTGATCTATGCACTTCTCGTTCTTACTGCGTCTCAGGGCCTTAGGAACCCCTCCTAGGGTCCTCCACGCGGCCTGCTCATTCGGCTGGCCCTAGGGCCCTGGCTGCGTACTGGGCGTCCGATGCCCGCCGTATTGCCCCCAAGTCGAGCACGTCTTCGCACGGGACTTCGGACGCCTCTGGACGCCGTCTGGGACCTCGCTGGAGGCCCTCCTGGGCTGTCTTCGGGGCCTCTTGGGGTCATCTTGGTTTATCTTGGCCCATTGTTAGGGCCCTCTTGAGTCGTTTCGAGACCTTCTGAAGCCTCCTTCGAGTCATGCGGATCCGAAAACCCAAGGAAGCTAAACCGTCCTGATTTCCAGGCCCCTCAGGGGGCGCGGCGGCCTCCTCCGCCTCCTCCTCCTCCTCCTCCTCCTCCTCCTCCTCCTCCTCCTCCTCCCCCTCATCCTCCTCCTCCCCCTCCTCCCCCTCCTGATCCTCCTCCTCCCCCTCCTCCTCCTCCTCCCCCTTCCTCCTCCTGCTCCTCCTCCTTCTCCTCCCCCTGGCCTCACTGGCCACCGTGGCCTCACTGGCCACTTTCATATCTTGCTTGGCATTCCTTATGGCAGCACGATGACAGGAGCTCCGACGCCGTGGCTCTATTTCTCAGTTCAGGGTCCCCCGACTTTGGAACCTTTTCTGGTATGGGCGATTGTTCATCCCAGTTTGTTTCTTTGTCCCAGTGTGGCTCAGCACTGTGCATCCGCCAACCGCCAATTCGCACTTCCACACCTACGGGCGCTCAGTCTGCTGCGATGGCAACGGTTTTGGCGGCGCCATGGACCAGACTCCTGATTGCGACCCAGGCTACGAGCTTGATGGCCTATGACGCAGGAGTGGTGCAAGTGGGACATGTGAAGCTGGAGAAAAAGCGGGATCCGTCCGACGTGCAGGCTGCGAGCACCGTTTACGACACGGTGATGATGCAGTTGAGCAGTGTCCATGTCTTCAACGGCAGTTCCCACTAGGCTGAGAGCTCGCCTGTGGCATTTTCGATTGAGGGCCCAGTAAGCACGCCCGATCCCGAATTCGGCATGCGTCATTTCGCCGATCCGTCTGGACAGACTGGCTACATGAAGGTCTACGGTGAAGTTCAGATGATTAAATTCCCGCTTTCGGTGAGCGATTTTGCTACGACATCCACTACGAGCATTGACTAAAATGTCGATGAGTCCGGAGGATTTGCGCTTGGTGGGTATGTGTATTTCGGAGAGAGGTGGATAATGGCGGTCATGTGCCAACTCGAAGATCTGGCGGTATGAATTACCAGATTTGACGAATCCACAAGTTTTTGACCTTGCCCCCATCGCCAGCCAAGGTGACCACGTCTGCCGCCTGAATGCAGGCTTCTCAGACGGTAGCAATGTATATTTCGTCACGAAGTTCGCATGGCCAGACTTCCCCCCGGAACATGCACACGCGCGCTATCAAGTTTCCTGTGTCTGGCTGGGGCGGTGTTGCATCGGTTGAGTCTGTTGACATATCGGCGGTAGATGCCAGGTTCCAGAGCATGGGGTCGCAAATCTTCCAGACGGACACGCACCTTTACATCGCATGCCATAGCGGGGGCGCAAGTGGGCAAGATTACACTGGTTTCTCATCAGAAGGATGGGGCGCCTATGCGAATTGCCATTTACTCGCCAGGGTGGACAAGACCGATTGGAGTGCATCTGGCGTCCAGGCGTTAGATATCACATCGCAGACGCCCACGCGGAGGGCCAAGAGTACCAGTTCTTGCGAGGCTGGTCGGGAGGCTTCGCGACTGGCGGCTACGCATACGTAGCGCACAACTTCGCTAATGCACACCCGCTTGTCTACAGCGAAGATTGTAGGCAGGGCCACTGGGTTGTCAAAGCTGATCTGAATGACTTCCAAACCACGTCAGTTATGAACGTGAACGACGATAACCCGCCCGTGAAAAGTCCGGGGGTTAACGGCAAGGTGTGTCTCACCTGTTGGCTTCACAGACGCGGTCTAAGACTACGTATTCGTGCACGCCGCGCCGTGGGTGAATCGGATTCATTTATCGGATTTCTCGACGGTCGATCACGTTACAGCAGCGCGGGTTAATGGCTGCCCGGAATTTTATGGTGGATTCGTTTCTTCGACGACGCGCGTTTCGGCTCGAAGTTGGCGGGTCTGGGCCGCCGCGACGGCGGGGGGGGGGGGGGGGGGACATGGGGGACATGCCGCCAGTGCGGCGCCGCCCCCCCCTGAGGAAGGAGGGGGCCGAGGGGGGAATTGCAGGATCAGACCGGCCGAACTCCAGGACATTTTCGCTGGGAGATGCGGCGATCCGCAGAGGCCGAAGGCGGGAATGAGCCAGGTGGGTCAGACAGTTGGTGGCAGCCTGTGACCATCTGCACTGAGGGGAGTTTCTGACCCCCGACCAGGGCGCACGTTTGACGACGCGCGGTTCGACGCGAAGTTCGAGGGATTGGAGCGCCAGAGCGGCGAGGAAAGGAGGCGCGGGTGGTTGGGGGGTTGCTGGCGGAGGGGGCGAGGCGGGGAGGGCCCGGCGGGGCCGCGCAAGGCGCGCTGGCCGTGGCTGCGGGCGGGGCTGGGCCAGGAGGGCCAGCCGCTGTGCCAGGTGGACCAGCTGCGCGGTCCAAGCGGCGGCGGCAGGGGGCCCTTCGCATGGAGGCGCCCGCAGAGGAGAGGCGAAGCGAGATGCAGGAGGTCGCGATCTGGTCGGCCGGCGCCAAAAGTTGAGGCTCGGAGGCCAGGCTGCTGTAGGGGGCCCGCGAGAAGGATATGGGCTTGCCGCTTCAGGGGCGGCGCAGCAAGTCCTGGAAGGCGCTGGGCGGGATCTGCAAGTGGGCGAGGCCTAGGGGCTGGAAGGCCTGGGC